CCTCACACAAAGCAGGCGCAAGGCAACCCAGAGGTGTTCCGGCTACGCGTGTGGACTGTATCAAGGCATGCTTGAACAAGAGAGGATATTCTGCCAGGGCAGCGAAAGCAGTCACACTAGCTTTACGCAAGTCTTGTATGACGACAAGTGGCGACACTTCAAGACATACGCTTCGAGGACCGGCTTCACAGCCATGAAAGTGACACATCCTCAAGTGGCGGACTACCTTTGTCACGTAGACAAACGAAGCGGTTAAAAGGGTCAACACTCTCAACATGAGCTCAGTTATCGCCATGAGGACGAGTGCAACTGACGAAAGTACCAGAGTTACTGGCCTTACTACTCCCTTTTAATTGGAGGACCAACAACAGAGATTTAAAGCTCCGGCGTGGGACCTCAACGTAGTTCTACGACATCTCACTAGTGACATCTACGAACCATTACAGAGAACATCATTCGAGTTCTTGGCGCAGAAGACGCTGTTCCTGATAACTTTAGCAACAGCAGCAAGGATGTCGGAAATCCATGCTCTGGACTTCGAGAGAACACGATTTGATGGAAATCAAAACATCGTGCATATGGGACTGAGATGGGACTTCATAGCAAGAATCAACTGCCAGGTCATCCAGACAGACAGTTCCACGTCCCAACACTATCATCGGTCCTTGGACCACAGGATCACGAGGACCTATCCTTGTGCCCAGTGAGAGCATTGCAAGTCTACCTACAAGATCTAGGTCCAGGAGACGGAAATTCAAGTGTCTTTTCGTCCCGATATCGACAGCGACACAGACGGAGGTCTTCCGCACTAAGATATCAATCTGGATCAGAACTGTCATCCTACGGGCCTACAAAGCAGCAGAACTTGATCCTCCAAGAGCCTCCAACCCACATGAAGGTAGAGCTCTGGCGTCAACACTCGCTCTACATGGGAATTGCTCTATCAGGACGATAATGGAGGACTGCTTCTGGAAATGGGACATGCTGTTTGCCAACCACTACCTGAGGGACATCGTCACCGAGGACGTCTCTGGCATTCACCATTTCGGCCCACTTGTTGTAGCACAACAATTGACAGTCCCACAAAGGCGCTGAGACGGAGTCTCGCCCTTTTATCACATGACTTGCAAAAGCCTACACTCAGGAGAGTTCATCTTTAGAGTCTATATGCACGTCTAGGACAGACTAGCATAAGTGATATGACCCAGTACTTGTAAGGACATACTCGTACAGGAAAGGGTCACTTCTCCACTTGGTGCTCGCATCAAGAGATGGAGTTGCAAAATCCACATAAAATGTTATCAGAAGCAAGGACCAAAAGTTAATTTTCTGAGTAAAATTAATATTTTATACTTATCCTGACTCATGAGGTAAGCCCTCCCAACCTCCCCGCTAGACACTTTGGATTTCCCTGTAAATTCAAGTGTCGGGCTCATAATTCGGAGAGAGTGAAGCATGGGAGTACGGTGGTGCCGCTTTCCCGCCAAAACGGCCAGACAGATAACTCTTGGTGAGGGGTGATTTTACGTCTCTTTTTTATTGAAGGGAGCTTCAATAGGAGATACAAGTGTTCCACTAACGTTCGCAAGAGGAAGGAGACAAGCAATAATACATGAGTCAGGATAAGTATAAAATATCAATTTTACTGAGAAAATTACATATTCCATTCTTAGACGTGCCAAGGACAGGTTGAGACGACGTTTACAAGTCATGTCTAAACAGAGTGAATGCGTTGATAACCGTGAATTATTGCCTGCTGAGATTCACCATTCCAGTGATTTGCCGGTGGCTTCTACGGAGCTATTGACTGTGGCAGATGGCAGCTCCGGGGCCAGGAAGAGATTGTCATCATCTAAACTACCCTCGTCGCAGTCTAAGAAGACCAAGACATCGTCTGCTCTGAAGAAGAAATCGTCTACAGATAAGACTTCATCGAAGTTGTCCCTTGGGGCAGCAAAGAAGACGAGGTCCTTCGCCGCAGATATCACCCCACCGGACGAAGCAGACATATACGATGAACCACCCATCCTGATTCCTGAAGTAACAGTTACGAAGAAGACGAGGTCTTCTTCTACAGTGACGTCAGCAGCCATATGAACGCAGTCAGACGTCTTATCAACGCAGACTTCAGAGACCAGAGATGACAGGCAGTCCTTGGAAGGAGCCTCAGCACTTTCAGATGCTTCGTCATCTTTACAGCAGCAGCAGTTGTCAGCGCAGACCTTCAACCCGGGTATCTTCATGCAACAGTTTACTCAGCAGATGATGGACCTGATGGAACGGAGGTTCGCGCAGGAGAAGGCTGCGGTGAAGACACCATCTACGACGAACCTGCACGAAGGACAAGCAGCCTGCAGATCGCATCTGAGTGAAGAGGGCAGCCTGCTTGAAGAAGGGAACGTTAGTGAAGGATCACGTACTCGACAGTCATCCACGACATCTTCCCGAGAACCTGTCAACCTGGACAACGATGAGCCTGCAGTAGAAGAGTAGCATTCGCGAAGGAGAAGCAGACGTTCACCGGAGCATCGCAGATCATCCTCAACCTCAGACTCGGACACACGTTCCCTCCTCCAGCTCTAATAGCGAAGGTGTTGCAGAAAATCAAGCAGACGGAGAAGCTGCAACTGATTTTGGTCGCGCCCTACTGGCCAGTGAGAGTGTGGTTTCCCATTCTCATACAAGAACTCTGAAATCCAACCCTGCAACTTCCAGAGTGGCCAAACCTACTAGTTCATCCGCACACCAAGCAAGCACTCGGAAATCCAACAGTATTTCAGCTACACGCATGGAACGTTTCCCGACTTGCTTGAAGAAAAGAGGATATTCCGCCAGAGCAGCAAAAGCAGTCCCATTAGCTCTACGTTGATCAAGTATGACGACAAGTGGCAGTTTTGAGGAATATGCATTGAGGAAGGGTTTCACGGCGATGAAAGCAACACATCCTCAAGTGGCGGAATACCTTTGTCATCTAAGACAAACAGGCGGCTAAAAGGGTCAACACTCTCTACATACCTAGCGATCCTCAGCACAGTTATCACCATGAAGACGGGTGTGAAGCTGACCAAAGTACCAGAGATACTGGCATTGCTACGCTCCTTTAAGTTGGAAGACCAACAAAAGAAGTTTAAGACGCCTGCTTGGGATCTCAACGTGGTCTTGCAGCATCTCACCAGTGATGCTTACGAACCACTAGAAAGGACATCGTATGAGAGGTTAACTCATAAAACTCTGTTCCTGATCGCCTTGGCAACAGCAGCACGGATGTCAGAAATACATGCTCTGGACTTTGAACGAACACGATTTGACGCACATCGTGACACTGTACATCTGGGATTGAGATAGGACTTCATAGCAAAGAACCAACTGCCCGGTCAACCAGACAGACAGTTCCATGTCCCAGCACTCTCGTCAATCCTAGGGCCACAGGATACTCAAGATTTATCCCTATGCCCAGTCAGAGCATTGAAAGTCTACCTACAAAGGTCAAAAACGAGGAGACGAAAATTCAAGCGCCTTTTCCTCCCTCTATCTACGGAGATGCCTACAGAGGTCTCACGTACAACAATATCAATATGGATGAGAGCCGTCATATTGAGAACCTACAAAGCAGCAGGACTTTAGCCTCCACGAGCCTCCAATCCTCATGAAGTCAGAGCACTGGCGCCGACACTCGCTCTGCATGGGAACTGCTCCATCTCGACAATAATAGAGGGCTGCTTTTGGAAGTCGGAGACGGTGTTTGCCAACCACTACCTCAGAGACATGGCTACCGAGGACGTCTCCGGCATTCACCAGTTTGGGCCTCTTGTTGTAGCACAACAATTGACGGTTCCTCAAAGACGCTGAGATGAATCTCACCCTATTTATCACGTGACTTGTAAAAGCCAACACTCTGGGGAGTTAGAGCTTTAGAGTCCATGCGCACATATAGGACAGGCTAGCATGAGTGACAGACCCTGTACTTGTAAGGACTTACTTGTACATGAAGAAGGGTAGCTTCTCCACTTGATGCAAGCTCCAAGATATGGAGTTACATAAATCCACACATAATGTCAGGAGAAGACGATTCCAGAGAAATCTGACAAGTTGTGGTCCCCCCAGACTCATCAGAGGAAGCTGGAAGAAAGGACAGTGCCATTAGAAGTTCCCTAGGGGGGTATGCAGGACGTAAATCAGCAGCTATGAATCCAGAGTGGCTTGACCCACCACCGGTTCCGTCGGATTCTAAGTGCAATTAAGCATGAGTCAGAATAAAGAAAATTATGTAATTTTCTGATTAAAATTGATATTTTATACTTATCCTGACTCATGAGGTCTGCCCTCCCAACCTCCCCTCATGGCACTCTGGATTTCCCTGTAGATCCGGGTGTCGGGCTCATATTCGGAGAGAGTGAAGAGCATGTCTGATCATGTCTGATCATAATGAATGCGGATCAGCAGCCGATAAACGAACACTGCGACGAATGCCAGATTTCATCAAATATAAACAAGATGAAACATCATATCAACAACATGAATAAACGGAAAATTTGGTACGAATTTCAAACCATATTGCTGGTATATCCTTGCTAAAGACCGTATACAGCTAATTTAGTAGTCAAAGCCTAAAATAAAAGGACATAATGCCGTATAGGGGACCCAGGCGCTCTTACAACCGTCCTCTAGGGCGAAGAAGGAGAGAGTGAAGAGCATGTCTGATCATGTGACGGGGTTTGGTGCCAAATATCAAAGGGAGGCTACTTGTGGGGTCAGTGATTTTACGTCCGCTTTTTTGAAGGGAACTTCAAAAGGTGATTCAAGTGTTCCACTATAGTTCGCAAGAGGAAGGAGACAAGCAATTAAGCATGAGTCAGGATAAGTATAAAATGTCAATTTTAATCAGAAAATTAAATTTTGGAATCCTGAATAAATCCGTGAGTTGAGAGGTCCCTGTTGAGGGCTGTGACATACTTCCTGATATCTGATTGTGTTTATGTATGGATGATGTTTGTTGTCAGGCAGATGAGTTTCACTCCTACTGCAGGCCTGTGTTGAACCCCAAGCTGACAGAATTCTGTGTACAGCTGACAGGCATCACACAGGTAACTTGTCATACTTACAGACAGGAAAGTTGTCAGACTTACTACGTTCACACAGGTATCATGTCATACTTGCTACATTCACACAAGTAACTTGGCATACTTACAGGTAACTTGGCATACTTCTTACATATACACAGGTAACTTGGCATACTTACACACAGGTAACTTGGCATACTTACACACAGGTAACATGTCATACTTGCTACATTCACACGGGTAACTTGGCATACTTACAGGTAACTTGGCATACTTCTTACATATACACAGGTAACCTGGCATACTTACACACAGGTAACTTGGCATACTTACACACAGGTAACTTGGCATACTTACACACAGGTAACATGTCATACTTGCTACATTCACACGGGTAACTTGGCATACTTACAGGTAACTTGGCATACTTCTTACATATACACAGGTAACTTGGCATACTTACACACAGGTAACTTGGCATACTTACACACAGGTAACTTGGCATACTTACACACAGGTAACATGTCATACTTGCTACATTCACCACGGGTAACTTGGCATACTTACAGGTAACTTGGCATACTTCTTACATATACACAGGTAACTTGGCATACTTACACACAGGTAACTTGGCATACTTACACACAGGTAACTTGGCATACTTACACACAGGTAACATGTCATACTTGCTACATTCACACGGGTAACTTGGCATACTTACAGGTAACTTGGCATACTTACACACAGTAAAGTTGTCAGACTTACTACGTTCACACAGGTAACATGTCATACTTGTTACATTCACACAGGTAACTTGGCATACTTACAGGTAACTTGGCATACTTACACACAGGAAAGTGTTCACACAGGTAACATGTCATACTTGCTACATTCACACAGGTAACTTGGCATACTTACAGGTAACTTGGCATACTTCTTACATATACACAGGTAACTTGGCATACTTACACACAGGTAACTTGGCATACTTACACACAGGTGACTTGGCATACTTACACACAGGTAACATGTCATACTTGCTACATTCACACGGGTAACTTTGCATACTTACAGGTAACTTGGCATACTTACACACAGGAAAGTTGTCAGACTTACTACGTTCACACAGGTAACATGTCATACTTGTTACATTCACAAAGGTAACTTGGCATACTTACATACAGGTAACTTGGCATACTTACAGGTAATTTGGCATACATCTTACATATACACAGGTAACTTGGCATACTTACACACAGGTAACATGTCATACTTGCTACATTCACACGGGTAACTTGGCATACTTACAGGTAACTTGGCATACTTAAACACAGGAAAGTTGTCAGACTTACTACGTTCACACAGGTAACATGTCATACTTGTTACATTCACACAGGTAACTTGGCATACTTACATACAGGTAACTTGGCATACTTACAGGTAACTTGGCATACTTACAGGTAACTTGGCATACTTACAGGTAATTTGGCATACATCTTACATATACACAGGTAACTTGGCATACTTACACACAGGTAACTTGGCATACTTACACACAGGTAACATGTCGACTCATACTTGCTACATTCACACAGGTAACTTGTCATACTTACACACAGGTAACTTGTCATACTTACACACAGGTAACTTGTCATACTTACACACAGGTAACCTGTCATACTTACTACCTACACACAGGTAACTTGACATACCTAACATCTGTGGTGATATTTGACATGTTATTCTGCAGACCAGTCTGTTTACGTTGAGATGTGTTGTTATTCAGACTAAAGTGGCAGCTGCACCAAAGTTTCCACAGGTTCTGACATCTTTCTCAGAATGGATGCAAGGTCACCATCTAGGAGATGGACACTCATTTGCCATCGTCACAGATGGGTGAGTGTGATATCTTCCTCTTTGAGTAGCTTTTAGTTGTGAGGGTCAGTGAGTGAGTGAGTATGATTTTACGCCGCTTTTAGCAATATTCCAGCAATATCAGTGGGGAACACCAGAAATGGGCTTCACACATTGTGTACATGTGGGGAATCAAAACCGGGTCAGCATTGCGAGCGGACGCTTTAACCACAAGGGTACCCCACCGCCCTTTATGACGATCAGAGTGTATGCTATAGTGACTATGACTTTTCATATGCCAGTAGTGGTGATTGTTGATCATATGTTTGTCAATGGTTTGCTGCCGAGGTAACTATGATACATAAAAAGTTGTAACATCGCTGACAGCTTCATTAAACGATACTCACTCATGAACTCTGAAACTCACTCACTCACTCTCACTTGATTGCAGTCCGTGGGACATGAGCCGGTTCCTCCACATGCAGTGTCAGTTCAGTGGCCTTGACTTCCCGCGGTGGGCTCGCAAGTGGGTCAACATCAGGAAAGTGTACAGGTAATATAGATGATCATGTGATTCAATTTGCTCTGTGGCTGATATAGTATGACCAGAAATTATTGAGAATTTTAGGAATATGTTTAATTGGATGTCTAGTATAAACAACCTTGACCAGCTATCAAGTGCTTGGTTTCAATCAAGAGAGACAACTCCGTTCATCCTTTTTCATTAGTTTGTGAAGAGTTATCCCCCTTTGTTTACTTGCTAGCAGACGACATTTTCAGTGATCCTCAGTATGGAGGATTTAGAGAAGAGGAAGTTGATTTTAGAGTATTATAACAAGGACATCAGATCAGCTAAAGTGATTTCAAGTAGAACAGGCATCCCTTTGTCCACTGTTTATTGTGTTTTGAAAAATACAGCAAATGGATATGGCATTGGCAAACAGGGAGGCACAGGTAGGCCCAGAAAATTGACTGTCGGTGACAGGAGGCGGCTTGGTATTCTTGTTTCTAAAAACAAACGAAGGAGTTTAGAAAATGTAAGGCTTGATAAGATTGATAGAGGAACTGTGGCTGTCTGTAAGGAGACAATTAGAACTGAGCTTCATGCAATGGGTTGGCAGAAAAGTCGAGGAATTCCATCACTGATCATGAAACCCGAACAAAAGGAGCAAAGGTTGAACTGGTGCTTACAGCATAGAAATTTTAACTGGGACAATGTGATTTTCTCAGATGAAAGTTCTGTGTGGCTGTTTCCTAATACACTGAAATTCTGGACCAAACAAACTGAAAAACCTTTGTATTAGCGCCCAAAGTACAGTCTGAAATTTAATGTGTGGGGTGGCATATCTGTGTTAGGGGCAACGCCCCTCTGTGTATTTGAAGGGAATATGAACAGTAAGGGGTACACAGATATTCTCGAGGGACATTTACTTCCATCTACTCACGTGTTCCATGGAAATTTTTGGATTTTCCAGCAGGACAACGACCCAAAACATCGTTCAAAGCATTCACAGGCCTGGTTTCAGACCCAAAATATGACATTATTAGATTGGCCAAGCTATAGCCCTGACCTAAATTCAATAGAAAATGTTTGGGGACTTATAAAGGAAAGTGTCAATAAGAAAAATCTGACAAATATTGCTGAAATGAAAGAAGAGGTGGTCCGATATTGGGACAGCATGGACCACGACTTTCTAACTTCTTTGATCAGGAGCATGCCCCGCCGCATTGAAGCCTGCATTGCTGCCCATGGTAACTTGACAAAATACTAACTGTTCATATGTCTTTGAATCTGGAGATATGTTCTGCTAATATTCACATTTAATACGTGAGTAATGAGTGAAAAAAATATATATAATTACAATCTTAAATTCTCAATAATTTCTGGTTGTACTGTAATACAGTCGTTAATAACTGGGCAATTTTCAGCTGTATGAGGACAGTCTGTCTATAATCGAGCCTGGACCAGACAATCCAGTGATTGACATTATGAGCAGTGATCTACGCAGCTGGGACACAATGAGATGTGTCAACCAAGTCAGCAGTCTGACCACCCTATCGCTTTAGTCACCTCTTATAACAACATGGGTTGTTGATGACCAATTGCAAGTCAGATCTTCACAGGTCCTTCAGTCTGAAGCAAATGTCATCACAGGTTAAATAGTGCCCAATTTATTTAGTAAACCTGATATCTGTGACAACCCTATGACTTTCTAAGTAGTAGTTACCATACATATCCATGTATGTTTGGAGTTTATAACAATGACAAGGAATATCTGAAAAATTTCAATATATTAATGTGATATGATGGATATGCTTTTCAGAAGAGATTTAGACTCCAAAACAGTTCTTATGTACACCTTCTTTTTCAATCAGAATTCACATGAAACCTACCATGACTTCACAATTTTGATATGTATCAGGTCCAAATTCGTTAGTATGGCATTTTATATTTATAACATACTCTTTTTCTGACACAAGTTCTTTCAACCTAACTAACTGAGGTTACCATGACCTAAGTATCGGGGCAGTGGGGTAGCCTAGTGGTTAAAGCGTTGGCTCGTCACGCCGATGACCCAGGTTCGAATCCCCACATGGGTACAATGTGTGAAGCCCATTTCTGGTGTCCCCCGCCGTAATGTTGCTGGAATATTGCTAAAAGCGGTGTAAAACTAAATTCAGTCAGTCAGTCAGACCTAAGTATCACTCCATGCAAGGGGCGAATCATGCATGTATACGTTGGAATGTATTCCTCTGCCTTGCCATGTTCTGATCATGACAGCACAGAATGATATTTGACACAAAACAAGAACCATTTAGTAATGATATTGTCTCAAGGATTTCATTTTGATCTGAATGCTGCAGAACATCAGAAAAAGTAGATCCGGCAGCCATGCAATACAGAAATCAGAGTGCAACACGACATTAGGCTAAGCTTGCTACAGTGGAAGCTGTCTAAACTGGCACTTGTCAGGACTGAAGAAATAATCCGGTTTAGACAGCAGGCCGGATTGTAGAGCTGACACGGTTATCTCCGACTAGAAGTGGACCAGTTTTGTCACTCTCATATACAATGCTGTATCACAATAAAACATGTCAACTCACTAGTTACATGTACAACTATACCCATGCTGAACTAATATTAAATTGTCTTTATCGGCAACCATGTAATCAACGCAGGATTAATTGATGAGAATACATATCCGCTTGACTCCTTGCCATGCGCCAGATTAGACAGCGCTGATTACTGTATAAACACATATTCGGTTAGCTCATTTCATGCCGAGATCCGGAATTGACTGCTGCTGGATTGCAGAGCTTTTAAATGATGATAAATGTACTAGCCACGGACGGGACTGAGATTTTATGCCGGTGTTGACAACTTGCCGATTTGGACAGCTGCCGGTTTTGACAGCTTCCACTGTATATTGTAATGCTGTATTGCTCTCGTAAGATTAAATGGGTATGTAATAAATTGTATTCTATTGTAGTTATATGAAATGTGTGAAATAATGGTAACTGTTTCATCTTTCCAGCAACTTCTACCAGTGTCGTCGATGTGGTATCGAGGCCATGCTCATCAGCCTAGGAATGACCTTTCAAGGTCAGCTTCACTGTGGGAGGGATGATGCCAGGAACATCGCTCGCATCGCATTGCGACTTCTCAGTGATGGTGCTACTCTCAAAATTAATGAGTATTTAACACAGAGCACCAACCGTCGACAAGACAGGACAGGCGAAGTGGAAAATGTTTCCCCTTCAAATCCGGTACCTTCAGATATCTGCTCAGAGGATGAGTTGGAAACAGGAGATGGTGCAAAGGTCACTGATGAGGTCAAAGCAAAGGTCAAGGCCAATAAGGTTGATTCAGAATTATCAAGTGGTGTTAAACAGCTGTCTCTTCAGGATGAACAGGATGACGGTATTGAAGATTTGCTGGCTTACTACAAACTGCAGTCTTCCTAACGGGCACCACTGTGACCAGCTGTTGGCCATAATGTCATGACCTCTGTAACTGCATTGTGGTTCACACTCACCACTGATTGGATGATGTTCTAATTGTTTCTACTGAGCTGATTGGATGATGTCCTGATTGCTTCTACTGAGCTGATTGGATGATGTCCTGATTGCTTCTACTGAGCTGATTGGATGATGTCCTGTTGCTTCTACTGAGCTGATTGGGATGTTCTGATTCTTTCTTCTGAGCTGATTGGGATGTTGTCCTGTTGCTTCTACTGAGCTGATTGGATGATGTCCCTGATTTGCTTCTACTGAGCTGATTGGATGATGTTCCTGATTGCTTCTACTGAGCTGATTGGATGATGTTCTGATTGTTTCTACTGAGCTGATTGGATGATGTTCTGATTGCTTCTGATTGGATGACTGAGCTCTACTGAGGATTGATGATGTTCTGATTGTTTCTACTGAGCTGATTGGGATGTTGTCCTGTTGCTTCTACTGAGCTGATGGGATTGATGATGTTCTGATTGCTTCCTACTGAGCTGATTGATGATGTTGCTTCTACTGAGCTGATTGGATGATGTCCTGATTGCTTCTACTGAGCTGATTGATGATGTCCTGATTGCTTCTACTGAGCTGATTTGGGATGTTGTCCTGATTGCTTCTACTGAGCTGATTGATGATGTTCTGATTGCTTCTACTGAGCTGATTGGATGATGTCCTGATTGCTTCTACTGAGCTGATTGGGATGTTGTCCTGATTGCTTCTACTGAGCTGATTGGATGATGTCCTGATTGCTTCTACTGAGCTGATTGGATGATGTCCTGTTGCTTCTACTGAGCTGATTGGATGATGTCCTGATTGCTTCTACTGAGCTGATTGGATGATGTTCTGTTGCTTCTACTGAGCTGATTGGGATGATGTCCTGTTGCTTCTACTGAGCTGATTGGATGATGTCCTGATTGCTTCTACTGAGCTGATTGGATGATGTCCTGATTGCTTCTACTGAGCTGATTGGATGATGTCCTGTTGCTTCTACTGAGCTGATTGGATGATGTCCTGTTGCTTCTACTGAGCTGATTGGATAATATTCTTTCTTCTGAGCTGATTTGATGATGTCATCAGTGCTTCTTCTGAGCTGACTGGATGATATTTTACCTTCTTATAAATCAATTGGAAAATATTCTTTCTTCTTCTGAGTGGGCCGGTGGGGTAGCCTAGTGTTTAAGGCGTTTGCTCATCACATAGAAGGCCCACAATGTGTGAAGCCCATTTCTAGTGTCCCCCACCGTGAGTTTGCTGAAATATTGCTGAAAGCTGTCACACTACACTCACGCACTGTTCTTCTGAACTAATTGGATGATGTCCTGATTGCATCTGCTGCCAATTGGATGATGTCAACATCCTGCTGAGCTGATTGCATTGCATGACACCTCATTGCTTCTATTGAGCTGATTGGATGATGTCCACATTGCTTCAAAAGAGCTGATTGGATAAGGAGCTGATTGTGCCTACTGATCTGATCCAATCTTTGTCACACTATGTCCCTCCATTACCCAGGTACAAGTGATGGAGAAACATAATGTATACAAACCAATGAAATATAAAAGATGTAACCAAGTAGCTGGAGATAATATCCTCTTGAAGTCTTCGTCCTTTGGCCATGCTAAATACTTCAGCTTGAAAGCTTGTCCTGTACTGTACAGATAGCTGTGAGGACACTCTCCATTTGTATGAGGAACTAGCACTTTTATGTCAATTACTTGATTATTATCAATGAAATGAAAAATATGAATGAAATTAGACAGTAGAATGATATGGAAGATAATGATGAATGTGTTCATTTCTATCACGATAATTATGTAAATGAGCTAGATATTAAGTTTTATAACTGTATTTATTGTTGATATGTTTTTCACTTCACTTTGTTGACAAGCACAAATAAATTTCTCAAAATTGAAAAGGAAGTTGTTTAGTGTGTGTGTGTGTTGTTTTTGTTGTTGTTTATACACAAGTCTTATCTTATGTATCTCGACAACATTAGACATTCATTCATATGTTTTATCTGTATACAAGAAAATTCTTTTAATAAAATAAACCCAAAATACAGAAATACGACCTTTGGTCACATACTTCAGGGACGAAGTGAAGACTCAAGAATATTAGTATGTGAAGATTTGTTTATTTCACTGTAACTGTTGTGAAAACATGACAACAATTATAAAGCTTGTAAACTTAACCTGAAAACCTGATCACAATCATAGCAAACAGAATGCATACCTTGACCCAGAGTAGCAAGAAATAGGCCAGTGAAAGATGATTTGTCAGATCAGATGGACGGACTTTTGAAATGATATTAACCCTACAACTATTTCTGTCTTGTTTCCTTTCACACAAAACCCTGCATCCCCTGTCTGCATCCCCGACCTGCTTCCTCGTAACCTGATCTTGTCTCACCTTCATCTTTGCTGCAACACGCTATCTACAGCCTTTCACACAAGAAGTCTTGTGGACTTTTTATCTCAACCCACAGTAACCTTTCCTGCCTCTAGTATTACCCTTTCAACCACTCACAGTATCTTGTATCCTCATTGGACCTCGCAGGAGATTGTTACAGCCAATGAAAGGGTTACTCTCAAACCATCCATCCATTCTACTACCCTGTGACCTAGCTCCAACAATACTGTACAATAAATGTTAGGTATAGTCCCTATCCTATCTTATCTCACCCTACCCATAGTAGCTTTATCTCACCCTATTCTATCTCGTCTCACCCTACCCACACTTGTCTTATTCTCAACCTCACCCTACCCATTGTAGCGTTATCTCACCCTACTCTACCCTATCTCATCTCACCTTACCCACAGTAGCTTTATCTCACCCTTCTCTATCTCATCTCACCCTACCCACAGTTGTCTTATTCTCAACCTTATTCTCAACCTCACCCTACCCACTGTAGCTGCTACCCCACCCTAGCCATACCCTAGCCATAACAGCTTTATCTCATCCTACTCTATCTCACCTTACCCATAGTAGCTTTATCTCACCCTACTCTATCTCATCTCACCCTACCCACAGTTGTCTTATTCTCAACCTCACCCTAGCCATAACAGCTTTATCTCATCCTACTCTATCTCACCTTACCCATAGTAGCTTTCTCACCCTACTCTATCTCATCTCACCCTACCCACAGTGGTCTTATTCTCAACCTCACCCTAGCCATAACAGCTTTATCTCATCCTACTCTATCTCATCTTACCCATAGTAGCTTTCTCACCCTACTCTATCTCATCTCACCCTACCCACAGTTGTCTTATTCTCAACCTCACCCTAGCCATAACAGCTTTATCTCATCCTACTCTATCTCACCTTACCCATAGTAGCTTTCTCATCCTACTCTATCTCGTCTTACACATAGTAGCTAATTGATCTCACCCTACTCTATCTCATCTCACCCTACCCACAGTTGTCTTAATCTCAACCTCACCCTCCCCAAATGTACCTTATTCTCAACATTATCCTACCCACAGGAGCCTTATTCTTAACCTTATTCTGAACCTCCCACTGTCTACAGTAGCCTAAACCTTGCCCTACCCACAGTGACATATTGTCATCTCACCCAACCCACAGGAACTATATTCCCACAGCATCTCACACAACCCACAGCAGCATAATGGTCACCCTAGACGTCTCATTACAACATAGCCACTAAACCCTAACTCACTCATTACAACATCGCCACTAAACCCTAACTCACTCATCTCATACAACAGCACCACTTGCCCACTCCAGCTGCCCTTACTCTCGCCAAACACCACAGTAGCCTCCAGCTGCCCTTACTCTCGCCAAACACCACAGTAGCCTCCAGCTGCCCTTACTCTCGCCAAACACCACAGTAGCCTCAGCAGCTGCCACCACAGTAGCCTCCTCTGCCAAACACCACAGTAGCCTCCAGCTGCCCTTACACAGTAGCCTCCAGCTGCCTTAAACACCACAGTAGCCTCCAGCTGCCCTTACTCTCGCCAAACACCACAGTAGCCTCCAGCTGCCCTTACTCTCGCCAAACACCACAGTAGCCTCCAGCTGCCCTTACTCTCGCCAAACACCACAGTAGCCTCCAGCTGCCCTTACTCTCGCCAAACACCACAGTAGCCTCCAGCTGCCCTTACTCTCGCCAAACACCACAGTAGCCTCCAGCTGCCCTTACTCTCGCCAAACACAACAGTAGCCTCCAGCTGCCCTTACTCTCGCCAAACACCACAGTAGCCTCCAGCTGCCCTTACTCACGCCAAACACCACAGTAGCCTCGCTCACATTCACCCACAATGTTCACCCCTTCACACTTACCGGTAGATGTTGATAATCTCATTGATTGCTAGCCGTCAAATGAAATAATGAGAAGAAAATGAACTAAAACCGTGCTTTGACCAAAGTTAACAAATGTTTACAGTAGTTGGTCCCATACAATATGATAAAACTTTTAAAAACACTATGAACAAAAGTATACCTTGATAGGAATTCATCCACTGCATTCTAACTTCCCGATTATTCACTTGAACAAAATGCAGAAATTATCTGAATAGGCGTAAGCTAATATTTAAAAGTGGCAAAAAGAAGAGATTTCCAGAATATATTATCTGCTAGCTGTTGAGCTTTCAAACAGTACTATACACAATACAAATGTATAGCAGGAGAACTCAGTTCTGAGCCAGTTTACAGAAAAGTAACTTGTATGATGTACACATATAGATGACTTCAACAGAATACATGTGGGAACAATGCCTCTCCTTGCTGCACCCCACATGGCACAGTGTTATCTTGCTACCAAACTGAGTATTGAGTCGTGTGACAGGTACCACACCTTGTAATCCTCAAATACATTTGTTCCAACCCTGTGGCACGCTGAGATGAAACCATTTTAGTTCGAAAAGGTGTGTGCTCCAGGTACCCTGTGAATGACATATCCAAGGGCACAGTTAACATGTAAGAATAGATGTCTGTAAAAAGTTGTCATACCATGCAACCCACTCTGGATACGCCACTTGGCTGTCACAACACATACTTTAAAGATACTACTCTAAAGGGTCCAGTTCCACAAAGCGATCAGCACGAAGGTGATCGTAACTTCCATAATTAAACATTAGTTTACGATAATCATAGTGCTAAGATCGCTTTAACTCCTATACTTAAACATTGGTTTACGATAATCATAGTGCTAAGATCGCTTTAACTCCTATACTTAAACATTGGTTTACGATAATCATAGTGCTAAGATCGCTTTAACTCCTATACTTAAATATTGGTTTACGATAATCATAGTGCTAAGATCGCTTTAACTCCTATACTTATACGATAAATATTGATGCTTTAAGCTTTAACTCCTATACTTAAAATTGGTTTCAGATAATAGTGCTAAGATCGCTTTAACTCCTATACATTGGTTTAAATCATTGGTTTAACTCCTATACTTAACTATTGGTTTACGATAATCATAGTGCTAAGATCGCTTTAACTCCTATACTTAAACATTGGTTTACTAAGAGTAATCTATATAGTGCTAAGATCGCTTTAACTCCTCCTATACATTGGTTTACAGTAATCATTGGCTAAGATCGCTTTAACTCCTATACTTAAACATTGGTTTACGATAATCATAGTGCTAAGATCGCTTTAACTCCTATACTTAAACATTGGTTTACAGTAATCGTAGTGCTAAGATCGCTTTAACTCCTATACTTAAACATTGGTTTACAGTAATAATCATAGTGCTAAGATCGCTTTAACTCCTATACTTAAACATTGGTTTACGATAATCATAGTGCTAAGATCGCTTTAACTCCTATGTTAACCACTGGTTTACAATAAGGTAGTGCTAATCGCTTTATGAGTAGGGCCAGGTTCCTAACCTTTATGAGTAGCATAACTTCGCATAATAAATTGCTTTATTATATGCAAGAATAGCACTTTAATATTAAAACTTTGGAGTGTGAAAAGTTCGTTCCAATATACATTTATGTCACAAGAACATCAGTAACTTAACAATTACATTTAATCTGAGGAACTTGTCATTCATGGAAGTACCTTGTTTTGATCCAAGGTCTTCCAATAATCATGTTCGAGCCCATGTATGCCAAGGTAAATTTGTTCAGGAACCTTCAATACATTGTTTGCCCATTAGCAATGTTGAATTTCTAACAAAGTGTTGTAATGAAAACAGGCAAATGATGAATATTGCAAAACTTAAAATATTTGAATTTCTGTACCGTATGTGTCGGAAATATGTGACGTGTCATGTGCCATCAATATTTCTCTGTGGCCATACCAAGTAAATGACAAGTTCCCCAGGAACAATTTACAGAAATGTTATCTTCAAACAGCTGCATGTTATGACAAATAAACAGTACCCAACATCACAGAACACACAAAAACATGGACCCAGGACACACACATATAATATAAATATACATATAAATATTTATAATCCTATCCAATAACCCACCAAAGATGTGAGTAAACATTTTCTTATCACAGTAAGTATGGACAATATACAGAGCAGAGTTATCTGCCCAGACTGCTGTGGTATAAGTTGGACGGCTTCATTTGAGAGTTATCTCCCCTACTGGACTGAATTTTAACTCATGTAAGAAGCTTTACAACAAACTGTCCAAAGTCTAACACTGACGCACAGCTGCAATAATATACATGATTTTGACATCACATATTTGAATTATTTGAATAAATACACCAAGCCCAAAATATATGTGGAATATGCTTCTAAAAAACCCCATTAAGTACCACTTAATTCTTTCATATTTCAATACATGTCACTTTAGTTAATGTATCAAAGCATGACAAATTAACTACAGCTATTTGAAAGAATCAAATGGTTTAGTAGTATATTTCACAGTTACCTTTCATGTTTATAGTTTAAGTAAGTAACTGTATTGATGCAAAAGCTCAGCACTTTCCTATGCTCTCAGACGTGTCCAAATGGCTGAATCCTTCCACAGTCTAAACATCTCTTCAAACAGATATACTAAACTTAAACCCATGCCAAGAGCTCCTGAGAAGCTGTTCAGGGTTGAAGTTATGCACAATATAGATCCAGTATCAGGCTGATATCATAAGGGACTTTGATATTCTCTGGACTGAGAGGGGGACTGGGATTGTATCGAAAAAAATATATTCTCCCACAATATGCTTGAAAAAAATGCTTCTTCTGTTGAAAATACAGGAAATTGTCTGCCACAAAAAATACATTAATCAAGATGTCATATTGTTATATTTAAAAAAAAAAAATGTCCTGCGACTGGAAAATTGCCCACTCCATACAAAATCCCAACTCCCTGGTCAAATTTTCTAATGGCCGTCTCTGACACATCACACAGTTTTTATCACACAATGTCTGTAAGACGATTTTGAACATAAAGAATCAAAACTGGGACTGCATATTATCCTGAACATGGATGCTTATGGACGGATGGGACTATGTTGTCAAAAATATCTTGAACTGCTAATTGTATGTATATATGTACAGAGACCGTATGTTACCTGTGTTCATTGTGATCAACATCACCTGAAAGTGCACTGATTGGACGGACGGACTTGAACAGACCTAGAGGCCTTGTCATCTAGCTACCTATATATATACATTGTATATAAACACTGGTAATGATGTTACACATAAACGTCATAGATATGAGCAAGTTACAGCCAATATACATCAATACTGTTGGTGACGGGTCTAGGAGAGCCTTATTTACATCAACACAATCAGCAGAAGTGACTAGGAAAGTGGTACCGTATTCGACGTACTTAGCACCCTGGGCACAAATTGTTAAAAGGGGGCACTTAGTTAAATCACTTGTCATTTGTCATTCACTTGAACTAGTGAAAGAAACACACAAAAAGATACCGTAGGTTACGGGGAAATACCAGAATTACTGGCACTCTATTATAGCTGGTGGGCTTGAAATCCTGTAAACTTTATTCCAGTGGCAGCACGAGATTGGTCGCTCGTCAGAAAACCCTTCTCCAATGAGAATTGGTATGCATACATTGTAAATAAACCTCAAAAAGGGGGGTGATAAAAAGTATATTTTTTATTTAGCTGAACAATTGGTCGGGGGGATGTTAAATACGTCGAATACACTACTAGGAATTTAACAGTGTCGAACAGAATGAGATTCTGTACCATTATCATCAAACAACACAACAAACAAAAGTATCCTGCACTGCTTCAAATCCATGTACTTGAACATGCCATGAACACACAGTAAATATCGGGTTGTCTTCCATAATTTGACTCAGAGTACCGGAGTCAAGTTTTATGACAGTGGTAAATATAACAGTAAATAATCACGTCTCGAGCAGATGTCAGATAGTTGAAACAATGAGCATGGAGCTGTGTAATTTGGATATGATGACATGTGTCAACAATGTTTGCGAGCCACACCCAATCCCATTATTCACCTCATCATTGGACATGCTCATTGTATTTATGAGATATCATAAACAATATGTAAAAGCAGTATTAAAACTGAGCTCACTATCAACAGTCAAAGACTCTGAATACAAGCCCATCGACCAAATGTCTCTAAATTCTCAATGCTTAATAAGCACAACACTAATATAATAGTTTTGACTGGCCTCAATTTCAATGGAACTATAGTTGGTACTTTAAGCACGTGCTCAATGCCGGAGCTACACAGTACCTGGACACAGAAGTTGATGAGTGACTGCCCTACATGAAATTAGCCACATGATAAATCTTTGGTAGTGCAAGCCATGACAGTTGTGCCTCCTCAAGATGCTCTACGCTTTTCCCAGAATTTCTGATTCCAGAGACTTCGATTCTAGGATATTGCCATGGCAACTTAAATATGTCTGATACCCCAGAAAGAAACAAACGAGAAATAATTTAGAAATTGTCTCCAGATTGAATCCAGCCATCAGGTATCTGTGAGACTCAGCTATGTTTCCGAAGTCTTATATCTGCTCTGCCATGAAGACACTTTCATTGTAAGGAAATGTTATTATAAAACACGTGTTATTTCTTGCATCCATATATCCATTAATCAATATTACAAAGCAAAGTGGCATCCCTCCTGTTATAATAGTAAACCTGTCATGAAACATTATGATGATATTGTTTCCTGAACCAATCACACAAAAACAGTTAACAAAGTTGCTAAAATGAAACTGGTCACATCATCTGACTATCCCTTGTGATCCTTACAAAGTATTCAGTCTACTCCTGATCATCATCATGTAATCATAACAACATGCACAGTCTGATTCTGATAGACGTATTATACACTTAAAATGATTTGAAATAAAAAAGAATAAAATTACATCTAAACATTTACATGTTCATGTTATTGCACTTTCTTTGATACTTAACCTGATAAATCAGAAGTTCATAACTTTTGAATTGTACCATCACAATCCAGCATTACTTGATAATAAACAATGGTGATGTAAACAACAAGTTAACCAAATACAACATGACTCTTAACTGGTCACAATTAAAAGAGTGAGTGAGTTTAGTTTTACGCTGCACTCAGCAACATTCCAGTTATATGGCGGTTTGTAAATAATCGAATCTGGACCAGACAATCCAGTGATCAACAGTATGAGCATTGGTCTGCACAATTGGAAACCGATGACATGTGTCAACCAAGCCAGCGAGCCTGACCACCTGATCCCGTTAGTCGCCTCTTACAACAAGCATGGGTTACTGAAGGTTCATTCTAACCCGGACCTTCACGAGTCCATAATTAAAAGAAGGTCTAGTGGCATAAGAAGGTCTATAAGGACAAAGTGGCAAATTGTCTTAAATAAGAAAACATCAAATAACAGTAAATTTTCATTTGTTGAAGAATGGTTTCTGTGGGAACCTTGTCTTGTATCAAGTAAATCCTGTCATTAACATTGCAGAAAACAACAGTCCATATACATTTATAAAAAACTCAAAGATGTCTGTAATTGTATACAGACAATATGAGACCATTATTAGTCAGCATGTGACCTTACACAGACAGAATGTGACCTCAGTTAGACAAAATGTGATCCTATCCAAAGAGAATGTGATCCAACCCATATAAAATGTGACCCAACTCAGGCACAATGTGATCCAACTCAGGCACAATGTGACCCAGCTCAGACACAATGTGACCCAACTCAGACACATGACCCAAACAAACAAAATGTCACCTCACAGACAAAATGTCACTGAAACAGACAGAATGTGACCCCAAACAGTTAGAATGTGCCCCTCACCTGGACATCGCAGACAATATGTGACCCCAAACAGAAAGTGACCTACCCAGGTAGAATTTGACATCACACAGACCCAACACAGGATGTGGCCAACAGAGGACGGAGTAAGAATAAACCAATATCCAAGTCTTTAACCTTACCCTAGTTCACATTCTGAGAGTGGGGTGACAAGACACATTTCTATTGGCCAGCCATTAATGCAGACATTAATCAGACCCAATTAATTCCAATTCCAAAATGAAGATTTATGGCACAAGATTTAGATATATACAAGGCAACTGTTCCAGGGCAGTTTTCTATCCTTTACGCATCCACTAGTGACTGTACTAGTAGTCAGAGTTTTGTTTATCACCTAAGGTCAGTAAATATGAGTGTGCGGACACTTGGTATACTCACTAACCGTAACATCTCTAAATGTGTATATGGAGTATACACCAAACTGGACTCTCTTTAGTCTGGTAGCATCCATTACTATCCATTAAGATGTGTATAATAGCAGACACTTCAAATAGTTGTATACATCGTAGCATAATCTCATAGGTGCTGTATACTTCATAATGTATTCTTCCAACCATATATTGGACTGTCCCAAGAGTTGTATAGGCTATAATGGACTCACCCAAGAGTTGTATAGGCTATAATGGACTCTCCCAAGAGATGTATAGGCTATAATGGACTCTCGTAATGTTGCAATAATGGGCTCTCACAGATGTTGTATACTGCAATGGACTTTCAAAAAGTTGCATACATGACTATAAATTCATGAAAACATCAAAGATCAGTGTCTGGCTGCCCTTCAGGAGCATTATGTATGTCAATATAGTGAAACATCCATTTACCCATACTATCTTCAGAACTATCACAGACATTGAGATACCCGAGGAAAAATCAAAGTCTCTCACAGGAGTTAATTCACCAGCCAGTCTGCCTGTCATTGTTAGGGTGAGGTTTTCATCCCTGACTTTACCAGAACAAGCAGTCCTTTGGGTGGTTCCCCACAGATACAATGAAGTGACCACTCAGTTGTCATCATCCAGGAAACAACTGTCACATCATTCGAGTCCAAATCCTTCAGCATTCTGAATAGCAGCAATCAGCTTCTGTTTGAGAACCTTCCGGGACTTGTAAGGAGGCAGCACCAACTGGTTGAAACAGGTGTGAGCCATGGGCAGTCTGGCAACAGATACAAGGACTGAATGGGAGGACTAGATATGTGAATGGGAGGACTAGACACATTGACGTGAATGGGAGGACTAGATATATGAATGGGAGGACTAGATACAAGGACATGAATAGGAGGACAAGATACAAGGACATGAATGGGTGGACTGGATACAAGGACATGAATGGGAGGACTAGATACAAGGACATGAATGGGTGGACTGGATACAAGGACATGAATGGGAGGACTGGATACAAGGACATAAATGGGTGGACTGGATATGAATGGGAGGACTAGATACAAGGACATGAATGGGAGGACTTGATACAAGGACATGAATGGGAGGACTAGATACAAGGACATGAATGGGAGGACTAGATACAAGGACATGAATGGGAGGACTAGATACAAGGACATGAATGGGTGGACTGGATACAAGGACATAAATGGGTGGACTGGATACAAGGACATGAATGGGTGGACTGGATACAAGGACATGAATGGGTGGACTGGATACAAGGACATGAATGGGTGGACTGGATACAAGGACATGAATGGGTGGACTGGATACAAGGACATGAATGGGAGGACTAGATACAAGGACATGAATGGGAGGACTGGATACAAGGACATGAATGGGAGGACTAGATACAAGGACATGAATGGGAGGACTAGATACAAGGACATGAATAGGACAAGATACAAGGACATGAATGGGAGGACTGGATACAAGGACATGAATGGGGGAGGACTGGATACAAGGACATGAATGGGAGGACTAGATACAAGGACATGAATGGGTGGACTGGATACAAGGACATGAATGGGAGGACTAGATACAAGGACATGAATGGGAGGACTGGATACAAGGACATGAATGGGAGGACTGGATACAAGGACATGAATGGGAGGACTAGATACAAGGACATGAATGGGAGGACTAGATACAAGGACATGAATGGGAGGACTGGATACAAGGACATAAATGGGAGGACTGGATACAAGGACATGAATGGGAGGACTACTGATACAAGGACATAAATGGGAGGACTGGATACAAGGACATGGATGGGAGGACTGTATACAAGGACATGAATGGGAGGACTGGATACAAGGACATGAATGGGAGGACTGGATACAAGGACATAAATGGGAGGACTGGATACAAGGACATGATTGGGAGGACTGAATACAAGGACATGAATGGGGTGGACTGGATACAAGGACATAAAAGGGAGGACTGGATACAAGGACATAAATGGGTGGACTGGATACAAGGACATGGAATGGGAGGACTGGATACAAGGACATGGATGGGAGGACTGGATACAAGGACATAAATGGGAGGACTGAATACAAGGACATGGATTGGAGGACTGGATACAAGGACATGAATGGGAGGACTGGATACAAGGACATGAATGGGTGGACTGGATACAAGGACATAAATGGGTGGACTGGATACAAGGACATGAATGGGAGGACTGGATACAAGGACATGAATGGGAGGACTAGATACAAGGACATGAATGGGTGGACTGGATACAAGGACATGAATGGGAGGACTAGATACAAGGACATGAATGGGTGGACTGGATACAAGGACATGAATGGGTGGACTGGATACAAGGACATGCATGGGTGGACTGGATACAAGGACATGCATGGGTGGACTGGATACAAGAACATAAATGGGAGGACTATATGGACAAGAAACATTGTACATCACTTACAGGTCAGTTCCAGAAATCCTAGAGATCTTGAACTGCATCTCCTGGGTTCCACCAATGGGTATCCGGTCACTTCCTGTGGCAAACAGCAGCAGCTTCTTCTGTAGTTCCATGGGCATGCCAGTCACCATTTCCCAGAAGTACCTGCCAACACACAGTCAGCTGTAGTCACAGAAACACAAATATATGTTAACAACTATCAAAGTACTCTCTGTAAGCAGCTGAATGTAGTCTGACTGTCTGAGGACAACACAAGTCCGTAGTGGGTACTCAAACCTTATGGTTGGCTCCTGCTGACTCCACAATGGTACAAAGGACATACTGAGGTTATGAAGACCTGACTGTCTCCTCCTGCAGACACCACAACCCCACAGAGGTTATTCTGACCTGACCATTTGCTCTCAAGGACTCCACAAGTCCACAGACCTCATTATAGTTCACTTCTGGTGAGTTCCAAAGTCCAAAGATCATGTACAGACCCTACACGTTCTCAGATCATATACAATCCTGGCTGATTGCTCTCAAGGACTCCACAAGTCCACAGACCTCATTATAGTTCACTTCTGGTGAGTTCCAAAGTCCAAAGATCATGTACAGACCCTACACATCCTCAGATCATATACAGTCCTGGTCCCCGTTTCACAAAGCTCTCATAAGCCTAAGATCTCGTAACCTTTCTTATAGCATTCGTACTTCCCATATAACACAGGAACTTCAAATGCTACAAGGAAAGTTACGAGATCTTAGGCTTACGAGAGTTTTGTGAAACAGCTCCCTGGCTGATTGCTCTTGAGGACTCCACAAGTCCACACCGGGTATATGGACCAGGGCCCAGTTCTATAAAGCAATTTTAACCCAACAACTATAGTGAGGGTTTGGATATTAGTAAAAGAGCTCTGGTGAACAGAATGTCTGTTCCCTATTACTACATCTACCAGTTTCATTTGTTATAGTACTGACCTAATTGTCTGATCCTGAGGACTGTAGCCTTCATAGATTGTCACCTTCTTGAGGTCACTGATGTTGATAGTCGGGCTGCCACAAACCAACATTTCCACCTCTTCCGGACGCAGCATCTACAATGGCAGTGTAAGAGGTTGGGTTGCAAAGCAATTCTCTTGATATTTTTTTACACATCTTCAAGTAAACTCAATATAATATCGAGAGTACTTACAATCAGCGCATTTGATGCACACACGCTGTGAAACCCATGATAGAATGCCTGGAACTGCGGGTAGACTGACTTGTTGAGAATGAACTCCACATAGAGCTGAACATACTCTGAAGAATACAAGAATGATATTTAGACATTTTCAATTTATATATATATATATACTGGTACTCAAATACTGAACACCTATGGACATATTCAGACCCTAAATATAATCCCCATTTACACTTTTAGATTCATTTTGGTAGTTAATTGGTAGCTAGTTGATGGAATGAGAAAAATTCTCCTCATAAATGTTTTTCATTTAAAAAATTAGTGAGATAAAATCCTTAAGGCCCAACAACAGATGCTGACAGTGACACTGACCTTTCCTGTTCTCCTTCGTGACTGGGATGTTGTCTCCGTTAGGCTTCAACGGGACTGTTTTCATCGACCCATACTCACTGTTAGAAACCTGGCAAACACAATGAGCCAATCAGATCTAGTCGAAATTTTGGATATCTTACATTAATAAAAGTTCATTTCCAGAAAATGTTTTCAACGTCATCTTTTGATGTGACAGAAATAATAAATATTTTGGAACATGGAAAATAACAATAAAACTGATAATATTTGCTACATTATGCATCAATATGCACCTCTCACCAATTTGTCGTCCACTCTTGACTAAGTATCACCATGACATATCTTATTTTACAGAAACACTGAAGTGTAGAAGGTGTATAATGGATGAGCATGATTACTAGAGAGGGTTATTTGCAGTGAAATTTAGAGCAAGTCTGCTTAGTACCGCTAGATTTCAAGAGGGTGAGTTTAGTTTTACACCATTTTTAGCAATATTCCAGCTATATCACGGCAGGGGACACCACAAATATTCTGGAAACAAATTTATCTTAATTGTACATCTTTCAATAAGCACCTCTTTTTGTTGACTTGTACATGGTTCAATAAGCACCTCCTTTTGTTAATTTTCTTAGCATCCAGGTGCATCCAGGTTACAATGAATATGATACTCATAACTCATGGGTAGGGAATATAATATATATATATATATTATCAATAAAAGGAGTGAACATCAGAACAACAAAAAGATTTGAATTTTCATATTGTTACCATATTATCTCATACCATTACTATATGCATCATTATAAAGTTTAACCAAGATGGCTGCCAGTGACGTCTGCTCACCTCAAATGAAAGACAGAAATCTTCCTCCACATCCTCCTCATATTCCATCAAATCCTTCAAGCCTTTTGCCACCTCCTGTACACAAGACACAACACAATATGGGATTACAGTCTCCTGGTATGAATTTATCGTTGATTTTATACAATTCATACAAGCCATTTTGCATTTTTTGAAGCTGGTTATGTTGTCTCCCAAAATTTAATGTTCTCATAGTCGATTGTGAAATGATGATATGTTCAGGACATGCCTGAGCCTAAGGGGCACACATGTCAGGTACGGACAAACGGACACTCGCACGCACGCACACACACACACTACCACCACCCCCAAAAAATCTTTCCCTGAGGAGCATTCACCCTTAAACTTTGGACTTCATGATTCATGTGGACCCCCTTTCTCCAAAATCCTGGATTGCCTTTGCATGTGCCCAGTCATGGGAGGTGTAACTCTACAAGTTTTGACATGTTTCCTTGAGTGTCTTCAAATAAACAACTGACCTGCCTTAGTATAATGCATGTTTTCAGAATGGGTGGCACCAAAGCACCAGGCTATGCTCATCTTTTCAAGAACACTTGATGTCATCATTATCATGCTCATGAAATATTCAGAATCATGCATTGGAATCTGCTTTCACTTGATAACGGTTTGAGAGCCTACACCGAAACGTCTCTCTCTCTGTGACAAAGAAGTTGTTCATCCAGATATTCAGTAGAATGTTCTTATAATTATGTGGCCTGTAGCTTCAGTTGTTAGTCTATTTTATCACTGGAAAGAAACTCCATCATGCAAACGTCTTTGTAGAATAGATGCTAGATTTTATAAGACCTGGGGCCCGATCCACAAAGTGTTCGTAGCATTACAAGCTATCGTAACTGTATAGTTTATCATGGGATTATGAATGACGTAGTGCTATGAACGCTTGCACGGATTGGTCCCTGGATTTTTTCACATTACCATTATTGATCTTTAATGCAGAGAATCATGTAACCTTTACTTCTTCTGAGCAGTATACATAACACATGCCTGTCATTGAGCTAAGGGGAGAGAACTGTTGAAGTGTCTACAGAATTGGTAATTGGTACTTACTGGTTTCACATGCATGAGGTCATCTAATGTGACCGTGATGACGCCAACTGTGGCGCGAGGATTAGAGAAGGGGACAACAGCAGGACTGAGTAGTTTCTTGTAGCAGCAGGGTGGGAAGCGGATGTCCAGATTGATGGAGTTGTACACGGCCAGGCCCATCAGCTTCACACGCTCAGGAAAATAGCCATCCTCACACAGATATTCTTTAACTATTTATAACCTTTAAGTATGTACAGCATTAAAACTAAGCTGTTATTGATGTCACATTCAAGGTCTGGCTTAATTTTACATAATTGTCACCTTTCACATGTGTAAAGACATGAAAAATTCTGTGTATTAGGATCTCAATCACAACTCTGTGTGTGAAGGATCTCTTCAAAATCTAAATGGAAGGATCTCTCTCACTTGTCTACAAGGTCCTACTTCTTTATAAGGATCTCTATGACAACTGTACGGATCTCTCTCACTTGTCTATAAGGTCCTAATTCTTTAATAAGGATCTCTATGACAACTGTACGGATCTCTCTCACTTGTCTATAAGGTCCTACTTCTTTATAAGGATCTCTATGACAACTGTACGGATCTCTCTCACTTGTCTACAAGGTCCTACTTCTTTATAAGGATCTCTATGACAACTGTACGGATCTCTCTCACTTGTCTACAAGGTCCTACTTCTTTATAAGGATCTCTATGACAACTGTACGGATCTCTCTCACTTGTCTACAAGGTCCTACTTCTTTGTAAGGATCTCTATGACAACTGTACGGATCTCTCTCACTTGTCTATAAGGTCCTAATTCTTTATAAGGATCTCTATGACAACTGTACGGATCTCTCTCACTTGTCTATAAGGTCCTAATTCTTTATAAGGATCTCTATGACAACTGTACGGATCTCTCTCACTTGTCTACAAGGTCCTACTTCTTTGTAAGGATCTCTATGACAACTGTAACGGATCTCTCTCACTTGTCTATAAGGTCCTAATTCTTGATAAGGATCTCTATGACAACTGTACGGATCTCTCTCACTTGTCTATAAGGTCCTCATTCTTGATAAGGATCTCTATGACAACTGTACGGATCTCTCTCACTTGTCTATAAGGTCCTAATTTTTATAAGGATCTCTATGACAACTGTACGGATCTCTCTCACTTGTCTATAAGGATCCCTAATTCTTTATAAGGATCTCTATGACAACTGTACGGATCTCTCTCACTTGTCTATAAGGTCCTACTTCTTTATAAGGATCTCTATGACAACTGTACGGATCTCTCTCACTTGTCTATAAGGTCCTAATTCTTTATAAGGATCTCTATGACAACTGTACGGATCTCTCTCACTTGTCTACAAGGTCCTAATTCTTTATAAGGATCTCTATGACAACTGTACGGATCTCTCTCACTTGTCTATAAGGATCCCTAATTCTTTGTAAGGATCTCTATGACAACTGTACGGATCTCTCTCACTTGTCTATAAGGTCCTAATTCTTGATAAGGATCTCTATGACAACTGTACGGATCTCTCTCACTTGTCTATAAGGTCCTAATTCTTTAAAAGGATCTCAATGACAACTGTAACGGATCTCTCTCACTTGTCTATAAGGATCCCTAATTCTTTATAAGGATCTCTATGACAACTGTATCTCTCTCACTTGTCTATAAGGATCCCTAATTCTTTATAAGGATCTCTATGACAACTGTACGGATCTCTCTCACTTGTCTACAAGGTCCTAATTCTTTATAAGGATCTCTATGACAACTGTACGGATCTCTCTCACTTGTCTATAAGGTCCTAATTCTTTATAAGGATCTCTATGACAACTGTATGGATCTCTTCTCACTTGTCTATAAGGTCCTAATTCTTTTAAGGATCTCTATGACAAGGATCCTCTCACTTGTCTATAAGGATCCCTTTATTCTTTGTAAGGATCTCTATGACACCTGTGTCTCTTTCACAATTGTCTGTAAGGATCAGTACTGGAGTGTAAGACTCTATGACAACTGTACGGATCTCTCTCACTTGTCTATAAGGTCCTAGTTCTTTATAAGGATCTCTATGACAACTGTACAGATCTCTCTCACTTGTCTATAAGGTCCTAATTCTTTATAAGGATCTCTATGACAACTGTACAGATCTCTCTCACTTGTCTACAAGGTCCTAATTCTTTATAAGGATCTCTCTATGACAACTGTACGGATCTCTCTCTCACTTGTCTATAAGGTCCTAATTCTTTGTAAGGATCTCTCTATGACAACTGTGTTAGGATCTCCTTGACAGCTGTGTGTAAGGGTCTCTATGATACCTGTGTTTATGAATCTCTTTGACAGCTGTGTGTAAGGATACAACTCCTACAAGGTTGAACTCCTGGTAGTTCTCACAGGGCATGGCACTGAACCAGTAGACACCTGCCATCTTGTCATAGTTGAACATACCTGCAACAAAACATCAGTAGTCACACTGCCTCACACCTGTTGACAAGCTGTTGACAATGGGATATGTTAAATCTCCAAACCACAGCATTAAACATTTATAATAAGTCAATCCTCATGGAATTGTCTTGTGCTTAGAGCGGACTAAAATATGGATCCGTAGGGCTCAATGAATTTGTCCACTGTATGTCATCATACTTTGATAGTAGTCATGACTCCCATGGCTTTTTAACCACTTAATTTACGGGCTGTAACCCCCACCCTGACTGCTCCCCCTCCCACCTTGACCCCCAATGCCCTGCTTCCTTATCAGCCCCACCCACTGCATACATACATCCGCCTACCTACAAATGTTCTGACACCACCAAAACTGACCACGCGACACGCACCAAAACCGCCCGCCGCCACGACGCGCGACGCGACGCACGCGACGCACGCGCTTTACGCGACGCGACGCACGCGACGCGCACACCCCAGCCTGAGCCCGCTTAACGTGCCCATACTTACCATACTCCGGCTGGAATATCTGCCTGATGAGCAGCAAGAACCACTCCTTGGTCAGACCGCCCATGTCTAGGCCTGGCTCCCCAGCAAAGGTCACCTTCAACTTCTTCTTGAGGTCATGATGCTTCCTGGCAATCTGAAACATGTCACACAGTATTACCGAATTTTAATCACAGAACAGGAACACTTAACTTGTACAGATTCTTGCAATTATGACTTCATCAGGTCAGGCTCAAAAGCAGCTCCAAGATTTTTGGAAACAAGAATTAAAGTTCATATTTCCAAATTCCAAGTGACCAAAATATGAGAGAAGGGTTTACCCAGGTTGATGAGTCTGAAAAAGGAGAGTCATTCTGACACTGAATGACAGCATCTGCTACACACCTGGCCAGCTGCTCTGTCTTACCTCGTTAAGAGAGTCAGACACCAGGTGAGACCTTCGCACCGTCAAGTTCAGAAACAGCATCCCAATGTCAGGTAGCTGTCGACGCTGCACTTTCGCCACCAAACTTTTCTGTATGGAAAATGCACAATATTTATTTGTTTCAGTGTCATGTGGCTACATCGTTTTGATCACCATCAACATTTAATCTCTACCATCTACCTCTCCAAGCTATGCCATATCTACCACATACCCTTCCCTTCTATCTCCACAAACTATGCATCCTAAATCTACCAGTAAGGAAAATGCAGCATATTTGTTTCAATATGTCATGAGGCTACATCACTTTGATTACCTCAACTTATATTCTCTACCATCTACCTCTCCAATCTACCCATAGTTACTACATACCCTTCCCTTTGATCTCTACAAACTATGTCTCCCAAGGCTACCAGTAAGGAAAATGCAGAATATTAATATGTCATGAGGCTACGTCACTTTGATTACCTACCAACTACCTCCCTGAACTCTACCACCTACCCTGGCCATGATGATCATCTGCTGTTCTGAGTCCTTCTGCAGGATTGTTCGTTTTGCTGCGATGCTCAAGATGAAAGGATACTGGCAGAATGAAAACCTGCAAGATTACAAAAAATATTAATGAGTATATACACAAGGTTATTGCCACTATCAGTACTGCCAATGCTGGAGTGAGTTAAAATTTTACATCGCATCGGCAATATTGCACCCGTATAGCTGCCCATGCTGGAACTATTGAGATTTACTGAACAGCTACAACATAGCCTCACTAGCCCATCTAGATGACTTCAAGAAAGTGTACACCCAATACACTTACCTTACTATTTGAATCATCAGTATTGTTGTTTTGTTGGACAAATTGTCAATCTAAGTGACATTTAAAATGATGGTAAGGGACCAGTCATTAATTAATATGGGAAGGGGGAAAAGGTATTTGAGGCACTAATGTACACAAAATAATTATCCTTTCCTGTGCTTGTAACATTTTTTATGACCTTCCCATGTTCTTGTGGTTTTTTCACGACCCTCCCTAAAATGCAAAAGCGCTTTACATTTTCTTGTAAACTGTCAATATTTTTTATGACACTCCCCTAGAAAATGTAATATTTGGGGGTTGCCTCCCCTGATTCCCTCTCACCCACACCTATAAATAATGGCCATACTGTTACTGATATCATGAGCAAAGGTTCTAATTCTTAGTGCATCTTAATATAGTCAAATATGTACTTGAAACATTACGCATTTAATGACAAATAACTTGGAAAATATCTTCCACATCAAACATTTACTGACTTAAAGAAAAATAAATATGGTTCATTTGATTTTTTATACTTTTTTGCTGATCAAATGTCAAAGTAAATATATTTTTTACATGTGTGTCATACTATATATTTATGATTTAGAAATTACAGATTTTTATTTGTTTATTAGATGAGAACATTATTGGCTTTTAAGTAGTAGAAGATGCATTTGCTCAACTGAGTACAAGGTAACACCATCAGTTTCAGTGATAAGGGTGCTGTCAAGAAGAATGAACGTCCACTATAAAGCCAGGCATTAGTGGCTGGGGGATGCAAGAACTGATGGAGAAAGAATGGGATAGTTAGTGGGGGGAGTTATTGATGGATGTGGTGAGTAGGAGGGGGAGGGAGTTATTGAGTGAGTTTACTTTTATGCCACTTATAGCAATATTCACAGTGGAGGAAGCAATATCACATTGTATGATGGAGGAACAGGACGAGAAATGGGCTTCTATGTATGAAGGCGGAGGGCTGATGGAGGAGGGGCATTTGGAGGTGGATGTATGAATGAGTGAATGAGTGAGTATGTTGTTTTGCAATATTCCAGCAACATCCAGGGACAACCAGAAATGGGCAATCGAACCCGAGTCTTCAGCGTGAGGAGCAAACACTTTAACCACTAGGCTACCCTACCGCCCCTGATGTATTTATGAAATGGGAGGGGCTGATGGAGGAGGCGGGGCATTTGGAGGTAGATATATGTATAAAATGGGAGGGGCTGATGGAGGCAGGGCATTTGGAGGTAGATATATGTATAAAATGGGAGGGGCTGATGGAGGAGGCAGGGCATTTGGAGGTAGATATATGTATAAAATGGGAGGGGCTGATGGAGGAGGCAGGGCATTTGGAGGTAGATATATGTATAAAATGGGAGGGGCTGATGGAGGAGGCAGGGCTGGGAGGGGCTGTGGAAAGCTGGGTGGTGCGTCTGATGATATTATATCTAGGGGTGGATGATATTGATGTAGAGCTGACATGTGGATGGAGGGGCTCCAGGCTGATGGTGGCAGGGATAAGATCTAGGGAGTTGATGTATACCTGACATGGATGGAGGGACTCCAGGCTGATGGTGGCAGTGGGACAGATGGAGGACGATATGACAGAAGGAGGACGATATGACAGATGGAGGACGATATGACAGATGGAGGACAATATGACAGAAGGATGAATGAATGGAATGAAGGAAAATAATATAGCTCCTGCAGCAGGCAGAACGAAGTCCACAAGAGATGTACAGACTCTGAACACAGACAATAACCTGTTCAAGATAATCAAAAAACAAACATGAAACAAAACTAAAAATGACTGCCCAGCAAATAGTGACACAGGTGTGTCAGGGAGATGAAGAGGATGGGAGACTACCGACCTGAGATGGCGCAGTTCGCTGGGGACCCCCTCGTCCTCGCCCCCGGGGATTAGCTTAGTGTTCATGTACTGAGCCATACTCATAATGTACAAACACCTGGTGGGGGGAGCGCAGGGGGAAAACAAAAACAGTGTTCTCAAATTACTTAAAGTCAAACAAGGTACAATCATATTAAAAAGCATAAAGCATTAAAATTACTATGAAATAGGCTAAACCAACAGCCAACATAGGACTTCACAAAGCGTACAGAACCTTCTTAAAGACATTTACCCAGGTTATCGCAAAATTGTCTACTACTGGATCAAAACAATCCAATTTCTTTTATATCAATGTCTTTAACTTGTCAGGAGTAGTATATAAGGACTTCGGCTATATACATTACTATAAAACTGAATCCAGTCTTTGAAATATTCTTATTCAACTGAAAAGTCACAACTTATGATATGATGTAAATAAACAATAAATTATCAATATGAACAAAGCACACTAAATTTAGAATATTTAAACATTTGATTTTCTTATTCACCATCATCAGATATATATCAGTATATGGTATCTGCTATCACAGTTCTCCAAATATGAAATAAAATTCAAATTTCAGAGTGATCTTCTTTTTCTGGAGTTTCTCAACTTAAGAAGTAATGAAATAAAAAGAAAAACATATCACTTTGAGAGCATTTCTTTTTTAACAAAAAGATTCCTTTTCATTCTTATTTCAATTATATCAGTGTCAAAAACCTCAACTGCAAATGCGCATCAGCCCATGAAGCCTAATTTGTAACGGGACATTTGCTGTGTTTATCATTTGTTTGATGCACTATTTAAAGGCACAATGTCACACATTTTCGACAATATTTTGGCCTATATTATACATATTAGGGCATGTGCACTCACTTTATCTTCCTATTGATGCAATAAAAGACTTATTATCCCTCACAACTTGCCTGAAATCGACAACTGAAACTTCAAGACGAACAGTTTCCAAACAGGGAATGCTTGCCATATATGGAATGTAAACAGTTGCTCCGTATTTCGAAAACTGTCGCACGCAGTGTTGTCAGTGTTTGCTGAACTGGTTCCAATTACAACTTGTGCGTAGGATATTCGTAAAGAGCGCTCTAAGGGACAGAACTCGCTTGAAATAATATTCCGCTAGTAGGGGACGCAAGAGTCGATTTAATACAAAGTTGCATTGATTCACTTGAACTTTTTAATTTAATTTTGTAATTAAAATACATAATTATTTTGGGAATAAATTATTTGGTAGCCTCCCTGAGGACTGATAGTTAGTATTATTGAGAGAAATGCTTATGTGTTTCTTAGAGAAGTTTGGTATGACATTGTGCCTTTAACCTTCTTTGTTCCCATGTTGACTGTATTAATAAAATATGCATTGGCAAGTCTACTAAGTAAATAACCAATAAAAGCACACACTGAGGTGACATATATTCAAACGAATGCTGAACCAGGCAAAAAGCATAAGCTGGTACAGAACAGCTAAGGGATACGTGTAACATCCGACAATGTGACAATCTAATCAAATCCAGATGTTGATACCGAAAAGCACTGCGGTAGTCAGTCACAGACAAATCGTCAGAGGTATCTTGCATAAAAATCCTATTTTTAACAGCTTAACATTAAATAATACAGGTACTGGTGCTCACCTTCCTTTCATCATAAACCACTATGCAGAGAACTACTTTTCTTAAATTGTTGCTGAAAAAAGTTACTTGACCTAATTTTTTGAAGGCTTCTAGGATTTGAATGAAAGATCCAATTTCTTGTAGATTAGGATTGTATATGTATCTCCATAACTAATCTTGCAACAAAGAGTGTCCATCTAAGGGACAGAATAGTCCAACGGTGCTTTACTTCAAACTGTAGTTAGTTACCATGGTGACCATTTCAAAATAGTAAACTGAACCTTACTTTGCTGTTGTTAAAAAAACAGAGAACATGTTGCACAAGCACTTTTTTAATCAATAGGATAAGAAATATACAGTCTAAGTAAACTTAGACTCAGTATTATTCGTTACACTGCTATACTGAGTCTAACAAGGTGAGGTGAAATTGGGTTTAATGTCGTGCTTGAGAATATTTTGCTCATATGACGACGTGCAAGCGTGTGTATGTGTATGTGCTGCTGCTTGTACTAGCCCAGACTTAAGCTGTTTTTATAGTGCTAGCCCACTGAGATACCATGCCGCAGTGAAGCATTAATACCCCACTCAGACACATTATACTGACTCCAAGCCGACCAGTCCTTGTTGTACCCATTAATGCTGAGAGCCAGACAGCAACCAACAAGTAACATATTTTAATTTTTGGGTATGGCCGGGGATCGAACCCACGACCTTCCGCTCTCCGGGTGGACGCTCTAACCACTACTGAGTCTAACAAAACCTTGTGGAAGGTCGCATCAGGTAACCTTTGAGCGACCTATGACCGTCCAATCAAACGCGAGACGGACGAACGGATTTAACCAATCAGACAACAGCTACTATTTAGGGTTCGGTGGGACTTACAAAATGGATTTTCTCTTCCTCGTTCTCCAACACTGATCTCCCAACAAATGAAAAATTGCATAAAACACAAATATTTGACCTGCAGTATATATACGCTTTGGGGTTTCTGTTGACATGGCTATCATTAGCTAATATTTCAGCAAGCTGACATGCTTGAATCCTGACAAATCGCTATTTTTTCGCGACTGTTTACTGACTGCTTTATGCGTGCTCCTCACTAGGAACCCGATCGTCACGGAAAATAGCATTCGAATTGTTCGGTACAAACTTTTTGGAGAGCTAAAAGTTCAAAAGGTATATGCGAATGTCAACTTTCGCGATTTGGTAAGCTGTGTTCTGATTGGTCAATTGAAAAGGTTATCTGACGCGACCTTCCACAAGGTTTTGTTAGACTCAGGATATAGCAGTTTAACAAATAATACTGAGCCTAAGTTTACTTAGACTGAGAAATATACTGACAGAAACAAATAAGGGAACATCACTACATTGCAATGTTCCTTTATTTCTTTTCAGATTTTCACCCATAATGCAAGACACAGCTAGCAATGAAACCTGAAAAAGAATAAAGCACACTTGTACTTTAACTCTTTCAACACCAGTCAACCAGAGGCATTTTACTGCCATGACACCGAAGTTCCCAGAGACCCTCAGGTCATAGATGAAGCCTATGTTTATGAAGGAAATTATAAGCTTGTAAAACGTTATTGCTACTACATCCCATACACCATTTTAAAAGATCTAATCCTACTGTTGATAAATATGAAGTTTATTTTTATAATATTATTCAAATAATACAACTACAACTTAAATAAATGTATTTTGAATGAAAATGCAAACTTATTTATAACGTCCAGATAAACCAATGAAAGAAGCAAAAACTATGGCGATTTTTTTTCCATTTTGTGACATGTGATAACATGCCCGTGCCTTTTCTTTTATATTTTCATTTTTACGCCATCAGAAAATTATTATAAAAGATTTCTTAAATAATATGTATGGTCGCCTATTTCCCGATATCTGTGGCTTTCCGTTTCGGTAACATGACATAACAACGGAGAAAATACCTCCGTTTTGAAGCTCAGCTCAGATGCATAACATGCGAGGGCGAATCGCTTGATGTCGGGCATCGCTCGAAGCTCTGAACATCAACAATATCACTGTACCCTTGCCAAGAGTATTTTCACAGTTGTAAGAAGCGATTTTATTGGATAAAGATTGGTTTCTAATGACGCTTTTCGCCACAGTCTGCTATAAGGGTCGTGATTGGTCAAAATCAGACCTAAGGCAGCCAATCATATTACGGCAATGGATACCGCCCTAAATTAAAACCTTCAGATTTAGACAAAAGTTTTGGGTAAAATAATGCTATTCTGAACATATTAAGCAAGAAATCGCTACCTGTATGTAGAATTATGGAACTTATTGGACGATCGTGCTAGGTTATGACCTGTGACAAAAATGCTTCATGTATATATTTTCGCATTAAACATCGGTCCGGCGTGAAGATTGAGGCTAAGCGAGAGCGAGATGTCACTTTCGTCAGTGACTTGACTTGCATTACATGATCGCAGACACAAAAGATGGAAATAGTAATTTTATATATGCGTTTGTATGTATAGTTTATAACTTTAATTCTGCTGATAATATATGATAAATTGAAATTTAATAAGTGTTTTCAGACATTGTGAAATGTGATAGATTTACTATATGAATCATAAGTCAGGTAGGTTCCTAAAATTATGTCTCATTTTGACGTGACTACTGCCTGGTCAGCTTAATCGGCCTCCTCGTGTCTGGGGACTCATAGCGCTGTGGCCGCTTTAAGCCGCCCTAAGGTGTTGAAAGGGTTAATGTGTTCCGCTTTTTGTTTCCATCAGTATAACTGAGTTTATAAAAATTATATCAGTGTATAGTTTACATCACTGTACGGTAGTGGTGGTCCGATTAATTGAAATAATCGAAGATTGGTCGAAGTGACTAAACGACCAAGCAATCGATCATGTTTCTCATAATCGAACACAAACAATTCTAGTACACTTGTTTTCATTAACAGTATTTTTCACTAGGTTGGTTTTGTCTGTTATATTTCATAAGCACTACAAGCTCGTGATTGAATTTATCTTAAAGACTCTAAGAAATTTATGTTCCTAACATACTAGTCATCCTTTAAAGATGTGTAATTTTGCCAACAAAAACCCAAAGAACTACATGTTTTCTTCCTTATTTTTTGTGCAATAATAAATTTAATAAATGACGCTAACCAATTATTTTCGATGATTGATCGGTTGTAATGAACCAATCATCAATTATGAGATTTTAACCAATTCCCAACACTAGTGTGTAAACGGCATCCAAATGGTATGATGTAAGGTCAGTGCATCTGCTGGTGAGTCTCACTAAATCTGACAAAACTTGTGTAAGGAATCTTGCCCTTGCTCTCCATCTGGAAGATATTCTAAAGCTCATTTCATAAAATCGGTATGAATGAGTGAGTTTAGGTTTACACCGCTTTTAGCAATATTCCAGGAATATCACGGCAGGGATAGCAGAAATGAGCTTCACACATTGTACCCATGTGGGAATCGAACCCGGTCTTCAGCGTGACGTGCAAATGCTTTTACCACTAGGCCACACCATCATCCCAAAATTGGTATGACGGACATGTTTGTACAAATATCTCTATGCATTGTTAACATCTCCAGTTTGCCTACAAAGAAGTTCATAGTGCAGTGCAGACAGACAGACAAATAAACAATTGGACCAATGTTGTCAAACTGAAAGGGAACCAGAATATACTCTCCACAGGTCTTAGTCAGAAGGTCTGTAGATGTTGGTGCTATGTCAAAGCATGCAGTGCAAGATGAACGTACCCAGGGTTTTACTCGATACCCAAATGTGCGTCCAGTACGCCGAACAAATGTAGAGAATGGACACAGAAAACAAATTCACTGTGTCCAGATGGACACAAGATACTATTTACTGTACCCACAACACATCTATGACTTTGCAAAGTCTTTCGTTGTTTCTTTCAGAGCAGTTACTTGCATCATTTCACCCATCAGTCCACATGACCAATGATTCATTCCAGGCTCTAAAGAAATCATCAAAACATACAGTTCTCTAAACCATTACTTCATAGGACCCTTGTATTGTCTGCAAGGACAAAACTAAACTTAAAACTAATAATTAGGTGTCCCCGGACTCCCATGTTTGTGAGTCGAGGTAAAGCCCTGAACATACCCTGCGTGTGAGCTGGGGTTCTGCCAGGCGTAGTACTCTGCCATCAGGTCCAAATGGTCCAGAGAGCTGTTGTAGAAGTCTGTGTACGGTACAATGGAGGGCAGCGACAAGTTGTTGGCAGCGTCTGCACAAATACAAACACAACGTAACATGTCTTTGAATTGCATTTAGAAGAGATACACATTAAGTTTTATGGATGTCAACTTCTTTATTATGAGGAACACAATGTTCCGGAGTATATCCTAGGACACCTGCAATTTACGGGTCCCTGCCTTCGGGACCCTAACCCTCGCTAGAGTAAACAAAAATGGCGTAAACTTCCGGGGACCTGTAAAGTGCAGTCTACCCTATATCTTTACTCCTTCATCAGGTGAACGTATTACATGTTACATTTACACTCTCAGTAAAATACAAATTCCAGTACTTTGTTTGAATTGAGTTCCATCTGGGATTCGAACCCACATGTCAGAGTCTGGAACCTGACTTTGTGTGCTGGTGATTAGTTGTATACTGTTGCCATCCTCAATGTCCAATGAAGTTGAAATGTAAAACTGAGAAAAACTTCATCCACAAAATGGACTTGTCTATGTAGGCCTCACGTCACGTGACTGTAATCATGTGACTGTAACTGACCTCGAGTACTGAGTCGACATCACATGACCAGTATTGACCTGTCGTATGATGAATATTGACTTTCATCTTCCAGAGAACATTGACATCTGGCAGAAACATTTCAAAAAGTTCATGGATAATTGTAATGAAACAAAGGACAATTTAATATACTTCATGAACCTTTAAATGAATCTTGGTACAACAAAACAAATGATTACTCCATAATGTAAACATCATATCAACAAACAAGGACCCTTGGACCCAACCCATTTCAGTCCCTCCTGGAATCCGTGAATCCGCAGTTGCAGAATAAATCGCGGAAATTACCTTTTGATGCATAAAAACATCTCGTCCGCGGAAAATGCATTTTCATGCAGAATACCTGCAGAATTTGCCATTTTTCTGCTGCGCAATTTCCTTATTTTGAAAGTTGAATCAAGATTGACTATGAATCAAAATTAACTTTGCTGTGGAATTCTTAGAAATTTGTCGTGGAATCCAGGAGGTACCCGGTACTGCCCTTTGGAGGTCTGACCACCTCGGAATCAGGTCTTCAGGTTTTTGTTTTTGTATTTTGATATATGAAGAAAGAAAATTTTCTGTATAACAAATGTCACTCACTGAATAAAGCCATGACTTTTGTTGCACTTGGTATCCACCACGTGCATTTGGACAGGGGAGGTAAGTCTTGTGGCTTTGGTGGAAACAGTCGACAGGAAATGAAGTTATGAAGACGACCAACTATCGACTTGAACTGATCAGATGGAATTCTGGAAAAAACAAAGAGACGTTCAAGGACAATCAATGGCTTCTGACAGCCCAACCTACTTTCCAGCACAGAAATAGACCAAATTCAGATAAATATATTGTCAACCTATTCAACAAATTGTCAACTTCTGTCAACAATTGTCAAGTAATGTCTCTTAATGTCAAGGCATGTGAACAATTCTTACCTTTCATTAATTATATTGTTAACTAATGACAACTATCACCAAGAACAGACCCCTTTTGGCCTCTAGTAGAACCTATTGGCAATCAAAAGCACTAATGTTAAATGTTGCAAACAGCTGTCTCTAAATACAATTGCTCCTTGTTGTCAACTTTCTCCTGACGTTTTATTGTCAGCTTACCTGCGGAGCCAGTGCACCAGAAAGTGGTGGTCGTGGTCCGACAATGCCGCAATCTGACGCAGCAGATGTGCAAATATCACATAGGTTGTCATATTGCTGAACTGGGGATTCTGAAATACACAAAAACAATTTTATAAATAGAAAAACTTGTCACCATAAACATTTTCATCAGTTCATAAAACACGATATACAGAGAGACATCTGACAAGTACATCACCTATGGTGATTAAACAATACAACAGCGTCAGTCACGTGACTGCAAGAGTGAGTGAGTATGGTTTTATGCCACTTTTAGCAATATTCCAGCAACATCACGGCGGAGGACACCAGAAATGGGCTTCACACATTGTACCCATGTGGTGAATCGAACCCGGGCCTTTGGCGTGATGAGCGGATGCTTTAACCACTAGACTACCCCACCACCCTGTGTGACTTGAAGAACCTAAGACTGATAGCATCAGTAACATTCCACATTATATGGATACAATGATATGCAGTTAAAGTCACAAAGTTTGAATATTTTTATTCTTATTTTTGTCAGTTCCTATGACATGCATGCATGTCTGTTTGCTTAAATTGACTATATTGATGGGCCCGGGGCATTAGGGATATCTCCTAACAGGAAAACCAACACAGAGAGACTAATGGGATCTGGGTTATTTGACGGTTGATTGCAAATGTCATCCAGAGCCCAGTTGTGTAGATTGATGATCATGATTATTTACAGTCCACTGCCAGCCAACCAACCAACCAACCAACCAACACACACTTACATGAATCAGGATAAGATACGCCCGCAGGTCATCCTTTGTGTTCGGCCTGACAAAATAGAAACAAAATATTGATGTTATATGCCGATTTGTCAGTCATAAAATATATTTGACAGGTTTTCAAATGAAAAATACTTGTTTTGTGTATGGATATAACAAATCTGTAAGGAATGATTGAACTAAAAAAGAGTTTTTAATGTGGTTCACACATTGTGCTAACATTAGGAATCAAACCTGGGTTTGACGAGAAAACGCTCGAACCACACAACTACCCTATCTCCCCATATGAGTAATGAGTAAAATGACTGAGTTTGGTTTTACGCCGCTTTTAGAAATATTCCAGCAACATCACGGCGGGGGAACACCAGAAATGGGCTTCACACATTGTACCCATGTGGGGATTCGAACCCGGGTCTTTGGCGTGACGAGCCAACGCTTTAACCACTAGGCTACCCCACCACCCCCCATATGAGTAACGAATCAATGTGAAATGTATCACGTAGTTACTAATATGTACCAGAGTCATCCTGTTCTACAGACCCAAAATCTAAGATAGAGTGGCGTAACAACTTATGATTATAAACCGACAACAGATAGTTTGAATTTGGGGAGAAACTCCTGTCAAACAACAGTACAAACATATCAGGTGCAGCATGCACAGTCATAAAGCATAATAAACATTAAAATATTTTGAAGTAGTGAGTGAGTGAGTATAGTTTTACGCCGCACTCAGCAATATTCCAACTATATGGCGGCGGTCTGTAAATAATCGAGTCTGGACCAGACAATCCAGTGATCAACAGCATGAGCATTGATCTGCGCAATTGGGAACGGATGACATGTGTCAACCAAGCCAGCAAGCCTGACCACCCAATCCCGTTAGTCGCCTCTTACGACAAGCATGGGTTACTGAAGGTTCATTCTAACCCGGACCTTCACGGGTATATTTTGAAGTATAACAGGTGATTGCGGTGTTCTGGTGTAGAGGCATCACAACACTTACTCCCTTGGTAACAGAAAAATAATATGAGTACCAATGTCAAATTGTTTCCATCAACAATTGCATCCTACAAAATGTATGTCTGAATTTGAAAACCAAATGTAATTGACTCTCCAGAAAGGTATGACGAGGCCTGCAGAGGTAGTACATGTGATTGTCATGTGCCAACATCTTACAGGGTGCTGCTCAATATCATGACTACCAAATACAAATAGCTTCCATTATTATTTGTATTTGATTAGAAAAAATATGTGAAATTGTGATCAAAATGAGCTTGAACTTCCAATACTGCCCCAAAAATCTTTTTCATCAAATCACTGCCTTGGCTAAGTGAGTTACTCATAATTGATAGGTTTATCTCGTGCCTTTGCTAAGTAAGCTATTCTTCCTCGATCACTTTAGCTATTGCCTTTCATCAGCAGTTGGGCTACTTAATTGGTAAAGCTACTGCCTTTGATCTATGAGCCAATCAAAGCTACTGCCTTGATGATCAATGAGCCAATCATCCTTCGTCAGTTTAGCTACAGCCTTTGATAAGTAGCTGGGCTACTTAATATTTTAAGCAACTGTCTTTGATAAGTGAGCTACATTAGGTTCAGCGGTTGCCTAAGTTGCTGAGTCACAGAGCTACTATTCCTTGACTGGTGTAGCTACTCCCTTTGATCAGTGAGCTATTGATCCTTGACTGGTGTAGCTACTCCCTTTGATCAGTGAGCTACTATTCCTTGTCTGGTTCAGCCATTACTTTTGATCAGTGTTTGGGCTACTCATTCCTGTTTGGTATAGCTTATTGCCTTTGATCGGTATATACTCGTCATCTCTTGGAGGCTGAGCTACTAGCCCTGTTCAGTGAGTTACTAGGCTAATAGATCGGTGACTACAACTAAGTGAGAAGGTAGGTGCAATATACAATGATCTGATCAACACAACAGCAGGTACAGGGTTGTCCAGCCCTGACAACAGTTTCAACAACAAAGTGTCCTTACCAAACTCTGTGATCCCTACTCCTGGCAGCCACAGAACATACAAACACATATTAGACACATTGGACATTTACAGTTTCTTTCAACACCCTACATACAGCAGACATTTCATTTCATACCACATTCAAATTAATTAAACAACTGAAGTATATCACCTTTATTCTTCACATTCACCTCACCTCAGCTATATCAAGCACATCGTATCATTTGACAATCTGTTATCCCCTATATTACATGTTTTAGGTACTTCGTACCACATGGTATAACACTTATCCAACACATTACATCTATCAAGCAGTTTATACCATGTTGTATTGACAATTATCCTCTCTCAAGCAGTTCATATCACATTATATTACCCTTAAGATAAATTTGTCGAATTCTGATTGGTAGATAGCCAAAGCATACCAAACTATGTAGGTGGATTTAAATGTCAGGGTGTACGAACCATACACCCCGACAAATCTGTCATGTGACTCACTACACAGGTTGTACAAATGACCTTGACCTTAGATGGAATGTGGGGCAGCCACATTGGCTGATTGCTTCGAAATTGTAGAGTTGGCGACATACAATTATGAGTATATACAGAGTAATAAAATTGTTGTCATAATTTCTTATTTGTTTGTGTCAATAAATATATCCAAAAAATAAAATGTTTCTGTATTTCACTTGTCGTTTAACAAAACCTCAAATTTGATTTTTTTATCATAAACTAGGCCATCCCGAGTAATCTTCCTTTATGACAGTTCAGGAAAAAGCATGGTGAAACGTTTTGCGTCTCATTCTGCCGATGACTTAATGTTGTTGTTTAGTGATAAGCTAAATAAAAAGATCTTAAGGGTAATAAATTTGTCATACAGAGTTTTGAAAGGGTGTACAGGACTGTAAGACTCTTGTAAATTCCTTCGTCTGGCGTCGCCTCAGGAAATACGGAATTAACAAGGGTTTTACAATCCCGTACACCCTTTCAAAACACTGTGTAACTAATAGTATTCACAGTTATCCAACACTTCACAACTCTCAAGCAGTTCATATCACATTGTATTCACAGTTATCCAACACTTCACATCTCTCAAGCAGTTCATATCACATTGTATTCACAGTTATTCAACACTTCATATCTCTCAAGCAGTTCCGATGATGATATCACATTCTATTCACAGTTATTCAACACTTCACATCTCTCAAGCAGTTCAAATCACATTGTATTCACAGTTATCCAACACTTCACATCTCTCAAGCAGTTCATATCACATTGTATTCACAGTTATCCAACACTTCATATCTCTCAAGCAGTTCATATCACATTGTATTCACAGTTATCCAACACTTCACATCTCGGCAAGCAGTTCATATCTCAATGTATTCACAGTTATCCTACACTTCACATCTCTCAAACAGTTCATATCACATTGTATTCACAGTTATCCAACACTTCACATCTCTCAAGCAGTTCATATCACATTGTATTCACAGTTATCCAACACTTCATATCTCTCAAGCAGTTCATATCACATTGTATTCACAGTTATCCAACACTTCATATATCTCAAGCAGTTCACATCACATTGTATTCACAGTTATCCAACACTTCACATCTCTCAAGCAGTTCATATCACATTGTATTCACAGTTATCCAACACTTCATATCTCTCAAGCAGTTCATATCACATTGTATTCACAGTTATCCAACACTTCACATCTCTCAAGCAGTTCATATCACATTGTATTCACAGTTATCCAACACTTCATATATCTCAAGCAGTTCACATCACATTGTATTCACAGTTATCCAACACTTCACATCTCTCAAGCAGTTCATATCACATTGTATTCACAGTTATCCAACACTTCATATATCTCAAGCAGTTCACATCACATTGTATTCACAGTTATCCAACACTTCACATCTCTCAAGCAGTTCATATCACATTGTATTCACAGTTATCCAACACTTCATATCTCTCAAGCAGTTCATATCACATTGTATTCACAGTTATCCAACACTTCATATCTCTCAAGCAGTTCATATCACATTGTATTCACAGTTATCCAACACTCCATATCTCTCAAGCAGTTCATATCACATTGTTTTCACAGTTATCCAACACTTCACATCTCTCAAGCATTTCATATCACATTGTATTCACAGTTATCCAACACTTCATATATCTCAAGCAGTTCACATCACATTGTATTCACAGTTATCCAACACTTCATATCTCTCAAGCAGTTCATATCACATTGTATTCACAGTATTCCAACACTTCACATCACTCAAGCAGTTCATATCACATTGTATTCACAGTATTCCAACACTTCACATCACTCAAGCAGTTCATATCACATTGTATTCACAGTCATCCAACACTTCACATCTCTCAAGCAGTTCATATCACATTGTATTCACATTGTATTCATAGTTATCTAACACTTAACATCAACCAAGCCTCCATGTCACATCATATGCACAGTTATTCAATATATTACATTCATCAAGAACTTCATATAACATCATATACAGTTATTCAACACTTCACATCAGTCAAGGACTTCACATCACATTCACAGCTATCCAACACTTTAAACATCTCAGACACCACTGTTGTAGAACACACATAGTGATTTACTTCAACTGTGATGAGGCCATGTATTTGGTATTAATGGCAACAAGAAACGTAATAATCAATCTTAGTTGCATCTACCTCTTGTCCTTGAGAAGACTGTTGATGATGGCCTTGAGGACTTCCTTCTGGAGGTCTTGGGGCTGCAACACATGAAAAGATGATGAAAGATCCTGGACCAGACGATCCAGTGACTAACATCATTACACAATGATCCAAGCGATCTGGATACAATGGCATGTATCAACCAAATCACCATGTTTGACCGTGATGTTTTACGTTGGCTCTTTAAACAAGCATAGGTTGCATGTGTGCTTGGTGAAGTGTGTGAAATCATGATGTGATATCAGGCATGTGGGTGTCATGGTATGAAGCAAAAGTGTGTCATGGTACATAGTATGTTTGTGTGTCATGGTTACGATATGTGTGTCATTGTATATAGTATGTTTGTGTGTCATGGTTAAGATATGTGTGTAATGGTATATAGTATGTTTGTGTGTCACGGTTAAGATATACGTGTCATGGTATATAGTATGTTTGTGTGTCATGGTTAAGATACATGTGTCATGGTATGTAGTATGTTTGTGTGTCACGGTTAAGATATGCGTGTCATGGTATGTAGTATGTTTGTGTGTCATGGTCAAGATACATCAGTGTCATGGTACATAGTATGTTTGTGTGTCATGGTTACGATATGTGTGTCATTGTATATAGTATGTTTGTGTGTCATGGTTAAGATATGTGTGTAATGGTATATAGTATGTTTGTGTGTCACGGTTAAGATATGCGTGTCATGGTATATAGTATGTTTGTGTGTCATGGTTAAGATACTTGTGTCATGGTATGTAGTATGTTTGTGTGTCATGGTCAAGATACGTCAGTGTCATGGTATATAGTATGTTTGTGTGTTATGGTTAAGATACGTGTGTCATGACATGTAGTATGTTTGTGTGTCATGGTTAAGATACGTCAATGTCATGGTATATAGTATGTTTGTGTGTCATGGTTAAGATACGTGTGTCATGGTATGTAGTATGTTTGTGTGTCATGGTCAAGATACGGTGTGTCATGGCATACAGTATGTTTGTGTGTCATGGTTAAGATGCGTGTCATGGTATACAGTATGTTTGTGTGTCATGGTCAAGATACGTGTGTCATGGTATATAGTATGTTTGTGTGTCATGGTTAAGATACGTGTGTAATGGTATATAGCATGTTTGTGTGTCATGGTTAAGATACGCGTGTCATGCTATATAGTATGTTAATGTGTCATGGTTAAGATACGTATGTGTCATGGTATATAGTATGCTTGTGTGTCATGGTTAAGATATGCGTGTCATGGTATATAGTATGTTTGTGTGTGTAGTTAAGATACGTGTGTCATGGTATGTAGTATATTTGTGTGTCATGGTTAAGATATGTGTGTGTCATGGTATATAGTATGTTTGTGTGTCATGGTTAAGATACATGTGTCATGGTATATAGTATGTTTGTGTGTCATGGTTAAGATACGTGTGTCATGGTATATAGTATGTTTGTGTGTCATGGTTAAGATACGTGTGTCATGGTACCGTATATGACCGACTATAAGTCGGATCCGACTATAAGTCGGGCCCCTTTCTCAACCCTCTAAATTCTTGCCAAAACCATGTAACTCAAGTATAAGTCGGCCCCTTTCCCCGGTATCGCCGCCTCCATCTTCACGCTCGGACACGATGTTTAACGCAAAAATATATGCATGAAGCATTTTTGTCACAGGTCATAACCTAGCACGATACACGCCAAATAAATCCCATAATTTTACGATAGGTAGCGCATTTCTTGCTTAATATGTTCAGAATAGCATTATTTTACCCAAAACTTTCGCCTAAATCTAAAGGTTTTCGATTTACAAGGACGGTATCCATTGCCGTAATATGATTGGCTGCCTTAGGTCAATGTCTGGTTTTGACCAATCACGACCCTTATAGCAGACTGTGGCTTAAAAGCGTCATTAGAAACCAATTTTATCCAATAAAATTGCTTCTTACAAGTGTGAAAATACTCTCGCAAGGGTACAGTGATATTGTTGATGTTCAGAGCTTTTGAACGATTTGCCCGACATCAAACGATTCGCTCGCATGTTATTCATCTGCTTCAAAACGGAGGTATTTTCCGTTGTTGTGTCATTTTACCGGTTAAAAGCCACTGATATTGGGAAATAGGGTGACCATACATATTATTTAAGAAATCTTTTATAATAATTTTCTGATTACGTAAAATGAAAATATAAACTAAAAAAGGCACAGGCATGTTATGACATGTCACAAATGGAAAAAATCGCCATAGTTTTGCTTCTTTCGTGGTTTATCTGGACATTATAAATGTAAACTTGCATTTTCATCATTAACAGTATTTTTCAAAACCACCACACAAAACTGCCACAGAATACAAATAAGTTTACTTTACGCGGAAACAAGTCGTGGTCCATTGGCCCAACTTTATCGCCGATAACAAAGTACCTGTAAGTACATGGCTGTGATCAAAATATCTGATTAAATTTAATGTATTGTTTATACTATGAAATATATTTTACAAAAGACAAACAACAAAGTTTTATATTTTATGTTTTATTTGGCCCACGATGTCATTTACCTTTGGAAACGTTGTCAGTACGTATATGCTTCCGGTGTAAACATTGCCAGTTGAGTTCGCAGGGCTGGCAGATTCACACACCTGACCTTGGGAATTTTTTTGGTAGATTAATGAACTCAAGTATGTCGGGTCTGATTTTTTACCTACATTTTCTGGTATCAAATTTCCGACTTATAGTCGGTCATATACGGTATATAGTATGTTTGTGTGTCATGGTATATAGTATGTTTGTGTGTCATGGTTAAGACAAGTGTGTCATGGTATATAGTATGTTTGTGTGTCATGGTTAAGATACGTATGTCATGGTATGTAGTATGTTTGTGTGTCATGGTTAAGATACGTGTGTCATGGTATATAGTATGTTTGTGTGTCATGGTTAAGATACGTGTGTCATGGTATATAGTATGTTTGTGTGTTATGGAAAAACAAATGTATGTGAAGGTATGTGTGAATGATATCACAGCATATGTGCAATGCTATAACAATCTTCATTCCATATCTCACCAGAGTAAGGAGGGTGCTGAACACACTGGTGAGAAGATCAAACTTGAGACCAGGGTCATCAGTTGTCTTGTATTCCTTCGATGGATCTCTCTGGAAGTCAAATACAGTCAACGAGTCAGCAAGATAGTGATTGAGAACATAAGGTTGGTTAAACACTGATTGAACTAGGATTTCATATCACGTAAGAATTGCCAAATGACACGCATGGGTACACTGTGTTGAAAAACAAGATTCCAAATCAGAAAAAAAAAAAAAAAGATAAAAAAATGGCCCAAAGGATAAAACAAAATCCAAATCAGGATCAATTTAGGAATAAAAAATCCAATCTTGATGGTTGGATTGTGGTAAGTTTGTGGTACAAATTCTAACTTAATTTAGACAACCACGCCAACCTGAACCATGCTCCCTTGATATCTAAAACATGATGGTCTTTTACTGCCTACATTAGTGTACAGTGGTAGGTTCTCAACTCAAACACACACCAACCCACCCCACCCCACCCCGAGGATCGGGTTCGAATTTCTCTTCAGTAACCTGTGCTTGTCGTAAGAGGCGACTAACAGGATCGGGTGGTCAGGCTCACTGACTTGGTTGACAAGTCATCATATCCCAATTGCGTAGATCGATGCTCATGCTGTTGATCACTGTATTGTCTGGTCCAGACTCAATTATTTACAGAACATCACCATATTGTTGGAATATTGCTGAGTGCGGCATTAAACAACAAAGCAACCAACCATCTCAACTCATTCTGTACATAGAAAACACTGTCTGTGTGTGTTTCATATTGATTTGTCAAATTTGCACAAGACTTCATTCCATTCCTTACATTTGCTGAGGATATAAAAACATTTTGAGACATTTTGCAATATCAGTATTACACATACCGATTCACTTCCAGTCAGAGATAACTGTTTGTGATACCGTATTCCCCCTGTTCAATGCCCTCCTCCAAAGAGCACTCTGCTCTAATTTGCACTTCCAGATCAATCTGTAAATATTCTTTATAAGCAGTTCTCATTTAGATTGAAACTATACAGTAAAGTCCATATTTTCTTGTGTATATTTCAGATTTTTATGCTGAAAACATTGGCACATTTATTACAGTGAAGATGGTAGTTCACTACACTATAAACATAGCTACTGACAGTGGGTGCCTCATCCTTGAAATGCAGGTGTTATCTCCCACCAGTTACTCCACAGCACACATTGTAAGCACTGACTTGAGACTTTCCATTTGATGGACATAAACCGAGATGTGAAAGGATATACTATGGGTGTGAAATATAAAACCTCAATGCCTGAAAACAGCCAGTCCAGGTTATCCGCCAATAAAGATTCAGTGGGTGTAAAGCAAAATGATGAGAATAAAATGTATGGATCACTCTAAATCAGGATGAGTGAGTGAGTCTGTTTATGCCCCTTTTTAGCAATATTCCACCAATATCACGGCTGGGGACACCAGAAATGGACATCACACATTCTACCCATGTGGGGAATCAAACCTGGGTCTTCGGCGTGACGAGTGAACACTTTAACCACTAGGCTACCCTACAGCCCCGCAATAAGTGATGAATCACTGATGACACCGGGTGTTGTCGAACAGGGACACCATGTCCTTACCTACCGAGACACCCACCACGCGGACCACTGAATAAAATGGTGTCCGTTGTCCGACACCACACACCAGTACTTCGGCCAGGTGATGGCTGCATGTTCACAAAGCAGGGACCGACCCACAAAACAATTCGCAGCACTACGACATTCGTAAGTCTATTATTAACTACAGAGTTATGACAGTTACGTTATGAACGTTAAGAGTTGTAAATTGGGACCTAAGGCCCTGTTTTACAAAGCGATTATAATGCTATGACTTTCGTAAGTCATAAAATTGGCTTACGGTAGTCCTACTGTTACAAATGTTTTGTGAAACAGGGCCTAGACATTCAAGTCATGGACATGGAATCCCAATGATATAACACACTTATTCATTTTGTTGAGCTAAAAATAAATTGTTCATTTTAAATTACATCTGCTGTGCACATATGAAGAGATTCTGCTATGGATAAATAAAGTAAAAGATCATTTATTAAATATTGTATTGCGACAGTGGTTGGCAGGTTTAATAATGTTTCACATACACACCTATAAAGATACCAGGATGTCATGACGACCTATGTTTGCCTTTGCCTCGTGTCAGATAATTCAATAGTTTATGCATGTACTGAATACATACAACCACAGTGTATGGCAGAATTGTACTTAACCTTTAAAGGTCATAGGCGCAGTATTAAAAAACATAAAAATAAAAGTAATGAATTATGTATCATTAAGAAGTAAGAGCAGCTAGACATGGGAGCAGCTTTCAGAAATCGTCAAGAGAATATGATTTGGTCTCCCTTGACCATGTCTTGTCATCACTTGGAAGATCATTGGATAATGGTAGACAGTTTGAGCCCATATCATTACTTGGGAGATAATTGGACAAACGGTCCATCCTTGCCCCCTGTCATGTCAGTACTCTGAAGTTCATAGACAAAGGGTCCCCCTTCCTGCCTCGTCATGACATCACTCAGGAGAGCTTTGGACAACTGTCCATCCTTGCACCCCTGTCATGTAAGTTATCAAACGATTGTTGGACAAATGATCCACCCACACACCCTGTCATGACATCACTCGGGAGATCTTTGACAATGGTCCACCCATGCCTCCTGTCATGTCATTACTCAGGAGATCATTGACAATGGTCCACCCATGCCCCCTGTCATGACATCACTCAGGAGATCTTTGACAATGGTCCACCTATGCCCCCTGTCATGTCATCATTCAGGAGATCTTTGACAATGATCCACCCATGCCCCCTGTCATGACATCACTCAGGAGATCTTTGACAATGGTCCACCTATGCCCCCTGTCATGATATCACTCAGGAGATCTTTGACAATGGTCCACCCATGCCCCCTGTCATGTCATTACTTGCAAGATCTTTGGACAAATGGTCCACACTTGCCCCCTGTCATGACATCACTCGGGAGATCTTTGGACAAATGGTCCACCTATGCCCCCTATCATGTCATTACTTGCGAGATCTTTGGACAAATGGTCCACCTATGCCCCCTGTCATGTCATCAATTGGGATATCATTGGACCAACTTTCCACCTCAACCCCAATCATATCATAGTGACCACCCAACACTACAACTTCAAAATGTCACGACCATCGAATGAAAACTATATTTATATATATTCATTGTGTAACAACACAACTCACTAGTTGTGAATCGCACCATGTTTGTACCTTGGAAACATGAACACAAACATCCCAAAACAGTTATATTGATTGCGTGTGTTGTCTTTCCTCCACTTAGACTTCACAACATTGTGATGAGACTGCGGTGATGTGAAATGGAGTCGAACATCACATTAAAGATTATCACACCATGTAACAGCATGCATGTATGTGGTGTGTTTGGTAGCTTCTTCTAACACAGTCAAATGTCAGATTTCAGGGGGGCGTAGTTACCATTATGAAGAAAAGCCCGGGCTTACACATGATTGTTGCTAAAAAGGTTGGGCAAGCCCTCAATACTATCTAGATTAAAGTTTTGCAACCTATCGGGCTTACACGAAAATATTGGCTTGCTACGCGCCTGGATTTATAATGCTGTGGTTTAACATGAATACCCAGCTCAGACAGATAATGACCCATGAAGATCCGGGTTAGAACTGATCTTCAGCAACCCATTCTTGTTGTACATAAGAGGTGGCTAACGGGATCGGGTGGTCAGGCTTGCTGACTTGATTGATACATGTCATTGTATCCCAATTGCGTAGATCGATGCTCATGCTATTGATCACTGGATTCTCTCATCCAGACTCAATTATTTACAGACCGCCACCATATACCTGGAATATTGCCGAGTGCAGTTTTAACAACACACCAGCCAGCCAACAAGACTAATACTGATTCTGAGACAGCCAGTCCTTGTTTTATCCCCTTATAGAAAGCCAGGCAAGGTAACAACAAATATCCCCTCTTAACGTCTTTCAGTATGACATATGACGTGACTGTTGATCAAACCACTGACTCTATGACATCAAAATACATAAGCAAATAATGTCACCCTATCCAATTGCCCCAGTGACACTAGAAAAGGATCAACACCTAGGTGTAACAAATATATAAGTAACCTTGCTGACCTTTCCAAAGTTGAAAATCAATCAGTTATTCGACTTTCCTGCTTGCCTCACAACCACTCACATGACCTTAGCATCCTCGTTATCTATAAGTAGACTGCAAGTAGTTCCGTGGAGTGGCTAATCAAACTAATGTTTTGTCATTGTTTCCAAAAACTGAAAAGAAATTCAGCAACATCCATGATAGTATGTGAGGGGCTGAAAAATAATGGGCAAGACTTATATTGCAATACTGTGCTGAAAAAATACTGTCTCGCATTTTGTACTGCTGTTTAAAGTTATCTGTGTGTTAATGATTAAATATTCAAACTATGTGCATCTTGCCGAGTGGCATCATGAATTACAGACAGCTCTGACACCCCAGAATACTCCCAGTACACACAGTGTATATATAAATATTTATAACTCTGAATATATGTCTTAGCTTGAACCTAGAATAGCACTACTTAAACACTCTCAGTACACACAGTTGGATTCCATTATATATAAGCTTGAGCCCAGACCACCAGAACAGATTCTCAGTAGACACATTGGACAGTGATATATACAGCTTTGGGCCTAGAATAAGACCACTGGAATAGATTCTCAGTACACACAACTGGACAGTGTTATATACAGCTTTGGGCCTAGAATAAGACCACTGGAATAGATTCTCAGTACACACAATTGGACAGTGTTATATACAGCTTTGGGCCTAGAATAAGACCACTGGAACAGATTCTCAGTACACACATTGGACAGACTGTTTTATACAGCTTTGGGCCTAGAATAAGACCACTGGAACAGATACTCAGTACACACATTGGACAGACTGTTTTATACAGCTTCTGGCCTAGAATATGACCACCGGAATAGATTCTCAGTACACACAATTGGACAGTGTTATATACAGC